AGGGAGATACATGAAACAAATCTCTCCACGAATCTGTGCAGGAATAAGTGAACTCTATTCTGCAGTACTTACTGATTATAGAAAGAATTCTTGGTTGTTGTAAAGTGTCTTAGAGTGACAGCAGAATGATGACCCTGCTCAGAATGTTTGCCATTGCTTAGAGACACATGTGAGGAGTGCTGCTCACACCACTTTGAGAGTTGCCCTTGTGTATGCAAGTTGAAACCCACACCTTTGCTGCTAAGTGTTAAATGCTGAGCCACTGATTAGAAGTGTTTGCCATTAGTACAGTGTGCACAGTCATGACTTCAGTGTTTATGTTGAAGCTGCAAGGACAAGGGTGTAGAAACTCTGTGGAACTTTTGAAGGAAAGTGGGAACACCCATTGAGCAGCAACAGAGCTTCACAAAAGGAAAGAGGGCAGAGAGTTCACTCTTGGGCCTTTCTGGGACTCTTGGGCTCTCCTGTGTGGCCTATGCCGCTCACATCTGCAACCCCACAGCAAACATTACTAGTCCTTTCACCTGCCTTACTGTGAGTGAGATACACCTGTCATGACTATTATGCAGAAAAATAAATGTTAGAAGAATAACCCAAGTTCTATAGAAAATGTCCTTCAGTTTGCAAAATATAGAAAAATTTTGTTCTGACCCCTCACAAATGAATTAGGTTGACAGGAATTTCATCTGATATTCTAAATTAGACATTGCAAGTAATTTTAGCATATACAAATAAGTTATTACTATTATAATAAAAGACCATTTCTGTGAAAAAGACATGGTAAACAGCATCTATCCCTTTTGACAACAGTGTCAGAACAGTAGATGTGAGGGACTCATGGGCATTTCCTCATGATTTCTGTGATGGTAACAGAAAGTTAGGGAAGAGCATGTATGATTTGTGAAGAAGTGTTGCAGTCAATGGCACTGGCCCAAGGCACAGTGCCTGGTGTTCAGCATACCTGCCTCTTATTACTTAGTTACTATGGAAAACTCACATCTGTAGAACTCTTCTTACATGTAAAATGGGAACGCTTCCTGTGTTACCCAGCTATAATATATGCTTAGTAAATAGTAGCTATTATTATAACCTGGGTTTTAAATAGTGATAGCCCCCAAATATTCAACACCAGATATATTTAAACTAAAACCAGTGTATGAGAGTATTTGAAACAGGTGCCACCCTGTGTGACATTTTTATCAATTATTTTTTAATTGAAAATAATTTCTTTTCATATAATATATTCTGATTATTTTCCCTTTCCTCATTTCTTCCAATTCTTTATCATTTCTAAAGCAGTTATATGCCCTTAAGTAATGGATAATGAATAATGTTCTAAAGAATAATGGATATGGGTTTAGGGGGATCATGATGTGAAGAAATTCCCAGACATTCAAACATAACTTATTAGGAGCAATGCCCTTTGTGACTTTTTAAAACTTTGTTGGCTTAGGTGAATGAAACTTATTAACCACAAAACTTACCAGCTATAACAATTCACCCAAGAAGCAGCTGGGAGATTACATGTCATGATATAACTTGGGTGGTAACAAACCTCATGTAACTTCTGCCTATACTCCTGGGAACATTTTAACCAGATAACATCCTCCCAGGGAAGACATCTCTGCCCGGGTAAGTGGGGGTTCTATCCAGTTCTGGAGCCACATTTAGGATACTCCAGCATGCAAAAGATCAAGTAGAGAGGGACTCCCATGGAAGTTTTCCACATGAGGACCAGTTAAGGAAATGTGTGAAAGGGTTACACAAAAGAGGTCCTGGCCTCCTATGCTGGTTTGAGGCAAAGAACCCAGTCCCTCCATTTCTGCACATTATGTCTCCTCATGGCCATCTGCCTCCTGCTAATCTACAACACAGCCCTGTTCAATCACACTGATTTTCTCACCATTGACTCCTCTAACCCCCCATTGACCCAACACCTTTAACCCTTGCCAGGGGCATTTATATATCAGTGTGCTGATTTCTCCCCAATCGGTTTCTCCTTGTATCTTCAGTCGCCTGTTGGGAATGTCTTCTAAATGGAGACCCAGGACAAAAATGAAATTACCTTGTGAGACACAGCCTGAATCCTGAGATTGACTTCATATAGTTGCATGGCCAGTGTCCAGCTTCCCTAAACAAAAGCCCTGCACTCCCACTGAGGTTTCATTTCTAAGCCATGTGTTTTGTTTTGGTCAGAGGAAAAACAATAAAGGGTAGGTTCCTTTCCCAGTGAGGTTTGGGCTGGACCCAATTCAGTCTCTTTATAGTTTCAGTTTTATTACTTCAAAATAACTAATTTCTGGGCCCAGTAATTGTCACTCATTGGGAGAATTGACTAAGTCACTTGAAGAAAAAAAAAGAAAAAAACCTTTAACTAGAATTTATTAAAATAATGCAAGCTAGAGATTTTTCTTCTTGTGGCTTTTTTTCCCTTAAATGGTTGGGTTTTTTACATTTTCCATCATAGACCAGCCTCTGCAGCTATGGCTCTGGTCTTGCCCTTTGGCTTATAGCAATGGAAAAAAAAAGCTCTTTCCTCTGGCAATAGTATCATTCTTTGGAAGGCTTTTCTGAACTTCTGTTTCTCATTCTGTCTTTCTGCACTTTTACCACCAACGCTGTACAAGAGAAATGACGGGTCTGGAACGTGACAGGTACACCATCACAAGGGGCCTCTAATGAGCTGTTTTGTAGCTGTTGAAACAAGTATTCTTAATTGAGTTTTCAAACACCTCTAAAAATTACTTGATGAGATGTTTTGTTACCATTGTACCCTCAGACAAGTCCAAAGAAGTGGGTGTAGTTCCTGGAAATGTTCATTTCATTTACTCCCTATGCTTCCTCCCAATTAAAGACTAGTCTTTTCATTTCCTCTTCTCCTTAGCTGTCTGCACTGTCCCAACTCAGATTACAATGGTGCCCACTCAGCATACTGTTTGTTACACATCCAACTTCTGACTTCTGTTGCATGCTGTGGTTGATGCTCAAAGCTGTAGGACTGGACTAAGTGTTTAGGAATTTGCAAAATATTAGTGTGGAATTCAGCTCTTTCTCATTAATTAGTAACTATCATTATACTATAGCTGAAATATGGTTGTGACAGTTTAATCTTAGTTTCTTAAATTTGTATGAAGTCTCAATGTAAAGTAAGGACTTAAAGTTAATATCAAACAGGTTGCACTTCAAGAAGTCACAAGTTCAGAATAGGACGAGAGTTCTAACTTGTGAAACTTGCAATTTAAATCATGAGTAAAATCTCATATGTGGGGAAAAGTAATACTCCAGTTGCATAATTGAAACAAGGTAGTTCCTGAGATCCCAGAGGCATCAGCCTTGAGGGGAAGTTAAGTGGATCTTGAAATCATTGACACACCAGCCATTATTTGTACCTACAATACCCTCATTTCATTGGTGGAGGCAGCAGAAATAGGCTCTCAAGGCCACCTGACCTACAACAGGAGACCCTGTTCTGAAACCTAAAAGCCAAACGACAACAAATGCCATTCGAACATCTTGCCTGTAAATCTGCCGTGTAGTGCACCATATTTTCTGATGGAAACTAGTATATATACCTTTCTAATGTGGGAATACTATTTCTACATACTTTTTCTTCTACATATAAAACGGGGGGTGATTTATGTTTGCTTGATTGTTCTCCTTTTTCCTGTGACAGAATCTTCCTGCCCCAGCCTCCCAAGACATGAATCTGTAATCTGGGTAATTTTACCCACACCTGGGTAAAATTTTGATTTGTTGTTGTTATTAATCCAAAAGAACTTTCCCCAAAACAAAGGAATCTCCTTATGTTCTTGACTTCAAGCAAAAGTCTCTCTCCAAAAAATAAAAATAAAAAGTTGTTCCTTCTTTATTTTTAAAGCTAATGAAGTATTTGGAAAAGGCATGGTGATCTCAAAAGATAGTATAATCACATTCTTCTTTTACTAAAATTGGTGAAAGAGAGCTAGGGAAGTTTACAAAGGTTGCTTCCCTGGGAATATAGCCTCAGCTTATAAGTAAAGCTTTGCAGGGAAGATGTCTAAATATCACAAATCATGTGTATTTACAACAAGTATGGAACCTGGGACTTTGCACATTCCAGGTGAGCACTCTGCTACTAGCTACATCCTCTCTATAATAATCTTTTAAAAAAAGTCATATAGTTGGTGGAAACCATGGGAAAAATGGCCTATATAGTTAGAGTGGGTCCCCTTCACTTCAGAAATGATTTCCAGTGAAAGCAGCAGATGTGGACACAGCGACACAGCAGTGTGTCATATGTTAACAGCAAAGAGGTAAATAAAATTAATATGCAAACTAACTCAACAAGTGATGTTATTAACCATAGAAAATAGATGTCAAATATATGCCAATTGTTTAAATGAAATGGTTGTATGACACATGAGAGTATAAACCAAGATCTAAATTAATATTAACTCATGTGGATATTAATACTAAAACAAACAGAATGAGTATCTTCTTAATTTTTAAAATATATAATGTTGCAAGTTGCATATAAAAGTCATCAGAACAACTTTCTTAAATGAAATTTCCCATGATAAAAATAGCAGATTACCTCATATTCTACATTTAATACTAAAGGAACTTCTACTGCATAAGATTGCATAAAGAAATTTGAATTAATGTTTCAGACAGTTATTTTTATAACAAATAAAATGTCTGTTTTGCAAACTGAATATTGACTTACTTGAACTTAAATTTTAAAATATGAAAATAATACTTAGTACCAGGAGATTAGGAATCAAACATATTCAAACATTTTCTCTTATGCATAGAGATAAAGCATCAAAATAACAAACAAGATAGTACTTTTAGGTTAAGATTAAAATGGTGCAATGAGAGGCATGAAACACACCCATTCACATAACACTGGTAGTTGATATATTACAGACACACAGGCCATGATTAGGGACTAGATTATGAAAAGGATGAAAAACTTCTAGCATAGCTTTTTTTACTTGATATGAAGACAGAACACTTACCTCTAAATAATCCAGGGAGCAGTTTACACCCTCTTCTACATCAAATTCCAGAAATGTGTAGTTCACAGTGTTTCCTGTTGTTGCTTGGATGGTCCAGTTACAACGCTGATTAAGGTCATAGGGCTTTGGAAAATTTATGCTCTCCAAGATGCCATAGGTTTTATTCACTATTATTACATTGTCACATGCTAGGAAAAAAAAAAAAAAACAGCCGTAACTGTTAAGAACAACTTCCACATATGTTATAATGTCTTTGAGATGTATATGAGATTCCTGTTTAAGAAGACATTAAGATTTTCCAACTTTTCCCTCTAGATTAATAAATATATATGTATACATGGCATGCCATTTTATGCTGAAGGAGTCTCCATTTAGAATAATGTGAAATAATATTTAGATGAAGCATCAAAATGTCATGAAAATGGAACAATTATATTAAAATAGATATTAGTTCCTATAGATTGTTCGACCGTAATGTGATTCTTCTTTGATCTCTCTGCTGAATTTAGAAACATGTAGTGAGCCCTCTATGCTTCTGTTTTCTACCAGAAACATTTGGAATAAATGATCATTCTGACCTTTGAACTCAACAGTTAGAACACACAGCTTTTGTGAATGGTAATACCTAGAACATACAGCTATCTGCATGAGTCTCAACAAAATTACTCATTGTGAAATTCCTAATGAACAGAAGGAGCCCAAAATAGGAAAGAAGAAATAAAATTCCTCGATTATGAACAATTTGCTTAAAATGAATTTTCATCAAAACCACACAAGCAGTTCTAGCTATCTAATCCTGGGATCAAGCACCAAATCAACCTATCAAAATGACCTGAACAAAGTAAATGCATCATTCTTCTTATTGTTTATATTTTTAAAAATTATTTTCTTTCTCGTTACTTATGACGTTCCAGTGCTGTCTCTGCGATGGGGTTCCTAGATTATTTCCTACTCCACCCTGAATGTGGTGGCACTGCTTAGAGATTCAGGCACAGCATATGGCCCTTCGGATTCTTCCGTTGCTGTAGCAGGCATGATACGCAGTGTATTGTCCTGAAAGTCTTTAGGCTACACTTTTGTTAACAGAGGATTTCTCAATAATTTTTTTTCTTTTAGATGTGTGTGCGAGAGTATGGCCATAGGCAACAGGAATCACAGGACTGGTGGCCAGGTCATAGCAACAGTCTGTATTCCAACTCCACACAGGTGGCTCTCACTTGTCACAAATCACACTGCCTGAAAACTAATTTCAAATGGCAAGTGGTTTTTTGTTTTGTTTTGTTTTTGAGCGAGGCGGGGTGGGGGACAAGAGCTCATGTAGCACAAGCTAGAATTGAACTTGCTATGCAGTTAAGGATGACCTTGAACTTCTGATCCTCCTGTCTGAACTTCTCAAATACTGGGATCCTACACACCTGTGAACACAATTAGTTTTATGATGTGTTGGAGATGGAATTTAGAACTTCATGCCAAACAAGTACTCTGCCAAGGGATCTACATCCCCAGCCTCTGCTCTGTCTGTAAGGACTGATATCCTGTGTATAAAAACTATTAGAAGGAAAACAAACAAACAAACAAAAAAAAAAAAAAACAGAGAGAGAGGCTTTAATAACCTGATAATAACCAAGAGAAAGAGAGGAAAAGCAATAACACAATTAAAGGAACTACCACATGCTCAATCAGATAAGAAGCTGTTTGCATATAAAATAATGATTAATTTCTGAAGAACAAAGCTATACATAAAAACTCAATATTCCAGGTAAAGGAAGTGGACAAGGAAGGGAATGGAAAGTTATGGCCCACAATAAAGATCATACCTTCCCCATACAAGCTTCTCTATTTAATAAAACTAAGGCAGAAGGTAGAACATAGGCTGTGAGGTAACTTTGTTCATTAGACCAATGTCTCATTAAAGGATTGTAAATTGTGCTACAAGTGAGAACTAGCAGTCATTAGAGTGTTACATGACCCTGGGCTGAACTACAGCTGTCTCTGCATAGCAAAAACTATCCTGAGTTTCCTGGTTTACCAGACATTTTAGTGATATGAAATTGGGTTTAATGTGTACACATTTTTCCTTCCAATGACTCCAAAGTTTTCATGTAAGAATCCAAGACTAATTTCAAAGACTCAATCCAGCTAACGCTCTCTGGGGGTTCTCTGCTGTTGGAATTTGTACTTACTCTGTGAGTATTTTACTTCAAAGCCACGTCCTTGCTGGCCTTCATCTGTCCTCAGTTTCAACATTATGCTGTCTCTACTGGAACGGATGGGAGCTGGTGTGGTATCTCCACAGAGTTTACTTATCAGATGGGAGCTGGTACTTGGGCCATCATACACCTTTAATAAGACATTTTGCACATTAGATGATCAAGGCTATGAATGTAAAGGACTTTTCAGTAAAGAAATGGCAACATAATATATGTATTCTTTAACTACAGAATAGTCCTAACTTATATCAATGTGTCTCCAAACTTGGGCAATAAACTGAAATATGTGACAATAAGCAAGTGAACTGAGATTGAAATCTGAACATGCAAAATGGAAGTTCAGTACAGACTTTGAGACCATAAGTGATAATTATAAAATGTGTGATTTGTGAAATTTCAACCCATTTTACTTATAGGATTCTAGAGGAGCATAGTAAATTTCAGAAACTATAGGAAGACATAGCTACATGAGTTTACTATCTACTCTAGTTTACCTCAATAAGTTTTCAACACATATAAAATGTCATATAGATATGGTCAGGATAAAGTCCATAACTACTCAGGATATTTTTACCAAATCTTTATGGTTATAGTAAAATACCTTAAATAGTTAATGCATCAAATTATTCAGTACATTCTATGTAGAAGATTGTCATTTTTTCCACATTTCTTTAAGGTTTTACTTTGTTTAAATCTTTTATGTGAATGCTCCTCTTAAATCCTTTTGAGTCTTAAAAAAATTTTAAGTGCATCTTGTGTGCTGAGTAAGAGGGGAGCATCAAATGGCACAGGGACTCATTGTACATACAGCCAAGTAATCCAGGGAGCAGCTGGGGTGATGCTCCAGGTGAAAGTCTTGGAATTCCAGCAGGAAAGGGCTGCCATGGCTGGCTTCCAGCTGCCAGTAGCACTCAGAGCTATGGTAGTAGGGCATCGGGTAGTTGGGGGATGTGAACAGCCCTGTGGAGGTGGTGAGTTTGCCTCCACAGCCTGCAGAGGGAAAACAGTGAATGAAACACAGCCTTTTCTTCCTGCAAGATTAACCTTGGCTAAATCATCCTGCAGCTACTCAGCTCTTCTTTGCATGCTGACCTGTCCAGTGCTGGGGATGGAGCTCAGAGCCTTACACATGGTAAGCATGAGCTCTACTACTGAGTCTCACACCTCAATCCTTTGTTTTTCAGAGACAAGAACTCGTTTTATAGTTCAAGCTGCCCTCAAATGTGGGATCCTCCTGCCTCTGCCTCCCTAGAACTGGAATTAGAGGAATTTGCCACCATGCCCACCCTGTGTTCCTCAGTAAAGCATCTCAGCAGATCAAGTAAAGTTCTGTTAAACACTGATAGACTTTCCTTTTTCTAGTGAAGATGAGTAACTTAATAAAATTTTCTGGGGAACTAGAACTTTCTTCTTCCTTCAAAATATATGCTGCTATTAATCCAAAAACATTTCTGATGTTGGAATTTATAATAAAGAATGATGAAAGTTAACTAGGAAAATGGACAAGTAGCAACATAATGAAGAAACTTACCAGTTTGGCTTCTCCCGTAAAAAGCCAGGTCTTTGCTACTTACCTGTTGATGATCCAGCCCAGGAAGCAGAGAAACCAGAGTAGTTGTCTGTGCTGTCAGTCTTAAACTTTAGCCATAGCTTGTTACTGTGAGAGATGATTGGAGGAGGCAAAACTGAGCCACAGTAACTTCCAAGGAGTGGTGAAGTTTCGTAGCCTCCATCTCTGTGACAGGTACAGAAATGAAAATGGGTTAACTTACAGTTTGCAACATACAATAAACATACAACATACTCAAAGTACAGGGAGGCAGATGCACTGCCAGTCTCCTCAGCTGGCATCTCCTAAACACGACTTTAAACAACACAAGGTCAAGTTCTCAAGTCTCACTCTTTACTGACTAGTCTTTGAATGACTTCATAAAGAGTGTCTGTTACTTATGGCTTGTATGGCTTCTTTATACCAGCTGCAGAGATGATGTATTTGAGATTCACCTTATCAAAGCCTCTAGCAAATAGACCAGGGAATGCAGGATATAGAACCAATTATTCAAAATATAAACCAATATTTTTAATTTTAAATAAATATTACATATTTCATACTGATTTAGAAATCTTCAAGATGTAATATAACATATACATATTGGTAATATTTGGGACAATTGTAGAAATAATTATTTTCCTAAGAAGTTTTGAGGATTTTAAATCTACAGGTATTTTTTCAAAAAGATGATTCATTGAATGTTAACACCAAGTACTTAGTTGGCATAAATTAAGAAAATTAAGCTGAGCATGAAAGTTCACATCTATAATTATAGTACTCAGTAGGCTGAGTCAGAAGGACTTCTGTGAGTTGAAGGCAGCCAGGACTATCTAGTACATTCTGAACCACCTTAGACTATAGAGTGAGACTCTTAAACTCCCCCTCCCATCAAATAAAATTATGTTGGTTTAGCCTGATATGTTCAATTATAATTTGTTAATTGAGTATTTTACTTTACAGCAAAGAATAAAATTTATTATAAAGTATTAAAAGATTCCAAGTTTGAAGTAGCAACTAAAATATTTGATACAGTTGCTTACCAAAATACTCAGCCTAATATCACTTCATGTAATGATATAGAGTATATATAGGTAAATATATACCAATATACCATTGCCAGTAATACAATTTAAAAAATACATTTGTTCAGAGTACAAATAGTAAATGAAAATTTTAAGCACAATTCTAGACTTAATATTTTTTTAAAAAATATAAGGTTACTATTATACCAGTGATTCTAGTGATATAATTAGATTAAATAAACAGCAAAGACCCAAATACTTAGGCTGGTTTTACATGAAGAATGAAGGTATTTAACTATGATGGTAGGTATTGATTATCAACTTGACACAACCCAGAATCATCTGGGATAGGAATCTTAATGAGGCTACTGCGTTGGCCTGTGGCCATGTCTGTGGGGGTGTTGTCTTAATTAAATTAACCAATATGGGAAGAATCAGCCCACTATATGTAACATCATCCCCTAGGCAGGGGTTTCTGAACTATATGACACAGAGAAATAGAGCAGAGCACAATTATGAAGTAAGCTAGCAAGAAGTATGCATGCATTCATTTCTTTTGCTCTTGACTGTGGGTATGATGTGACTAGCTGAGTTCCTGGCACCTTGCACACCTGTTTTGACAGACTAGAACCTGAAATTGTGTGCTACAATAAAGCCTTCCTCACCTAAGTTTCTTTTGGTCAAGATATTTTATCACAGCAATGGAAATGAAATTAGGTTTCATTAATAGTGAGTATCACATTTTATGGTGTAGTAGTATTTCTGTTTCCTTCCTAAATAAAATCTGAAGTTTACTGCAAAATATTCCTGATGTAAGAATCTGAAATAACTATCAGGGATTGAGAAAATGACACAGAAGTGAAGATTACTTACTGATCTTACAGAGGGACCAGAGTTGAGTTCAAGTCCCAGTATGCACAATGGATAGCTCACAACCACCTGCAACTCCAGAGGATCCAACATCCTCTTCTGGCCTCCACAGGCACCACACTTCCATGCACATAATCACACTCACACACAAGCATGTAAACATAATTTAAATCAAGAAAGTAAAATCTCAAATAACTATAAATCTTGTAAAATTTCTCCTTTTCTTCTATATCATGCTTAAAGGGACAAATTTCATGTTGTGATAAAGAATGTATAAGATAAATTTGCAAAACTTTCTATGTTTCCTTTCATCTTTTCTGAGATTATTGATGAAAATAAAGGTTATAATGATATAAAAGCCCACACCTGATTTCCACAAAATCAATACAATATTTCCCCACTTTGTTCTCCAAGTCGAAGCTTGTAAAATTCAATGCAATCTGTTGGTTGAATCCCACTGTGATCCTGTAGATGCAATCCAAGCTATTGGGGTAATTATGGGGGAAGTTGGGGGAGATGAGTGTCCCAGAATCATCTGTATATTCTTTTAAGCACACTGTGAAAAGAAACAGAGAGAAAAATTTGAAAACATTATGCATTTGCATGTATCCAGTAATGTGCCATGCATTAATTTGTGTCCCTGTACTTGAATTTCAGCAGTATTTTCTTAATGTTCAAAGACTGATTTCATTTTGAAAAAATGTTTTTAAAATTTCAGATGCAAGGAAATACTAAGTTTTAACAATGTTGCAAACACAGTTGCGTATATTTTGACAGAATAACAGTTTTGGTCCTAGAAGTGTTACAATTTTTCTAAATTATGTAAATCACCATAAACATTAAAATTAGGTTAAACTATGCAGATATAAGGGAGTTTAGAAATAATACAGTTCTGTACTTCTCTTCATAGTTTCCCTTTATAAATGTGTGTGTTTATGATAAATGATTAGGTAGCCATGGAGGAGGTATGGAAACCAGAGCTAGGTGTAGTAAGCACACCTGCCATTGAAGGGACATTCCATCAAAGCCTGTCTCAGGTATAGACATGGTATGGAAACAAGCAAGCCACTCATCTCCTGATCTCAGTTCTGTCATTTCTATGATGGTAATGGTTACTAACTTTGGGTATTGTTTTAAGAGAATGAGATGATGCAGCTAAAGTATCCACCTAAACATAAACATATGGCAATAGTCATCATTACATTTCAAGACAGAATGGGTCTAAGAAAAGTATAATTGTGAAGTGTATGATTAATTATTACTATGGAATAACTAGCAGCCAACCTGGAAGGCTGCATCATAATTAAACAGCAACTTCTCCAGTGTGTTTGAACTTGGCCTGTTCAGTCTTTTCAGACTCTGCTCAACAAAAAAAACCATCAGTCCCTTATGCCCTTACAATCTGAGATGTTTTACCAACAAAGTCTAGTTTAACTGTGCTGTAGGAGAGAATGAGCTATTATATTTTAGTTCAAATAAATAAATGCTGAGGCTGTGTAATTACATTTCCCCAATTGTGTCATATATTTATCCAGATAGGGTGAAATTATTGGTATTGGGAACACAGGACACATGTAAAATGTTATAGGATCTACTATCTATGTGGGTCCCATGAAGGGATATTTATCAAATACTAAAAATGAAGGCTTTACTTAATTGAAATGGCTCACAGTGATAGTCCGCCCCAAAAAGGAGGCAAGAAAAGACCAAGAGAATGAAGATAAAGGGAGGAAGATGGTGAGGATGAGAAAGAACAGTACAAGGAATGGGAAGAGGCCTATTCTAAATGTTCAATACCCAGTCATGAACATTACTATATAAAATTCATTAAACTAATGGATTATAAATTTTATTTAGGACACAGTATCCCTTAAGTAACATAACGGACAAACCCATGAGTCCACACACAGTTTCTAGTGTTAGCCAGTTACTCAAATTCTTAAAGCAAATCATCTCTCCAATTAGAAAACAACATTAGTTAATATTCACCCACAGAAAATAGAAAAAGAAAAGCAAACAGGACTTGAGGGCCGTCTGCTGTGAGGACAGCTATTTAGGTGGACAGCCCCCATCCCCAGCAGCATGTGTGTCCATCCCTCTGTCCCACTTGAGCTCTGGATCTGAGGAAATCCCTATGTAACAGAAGACAGAAGACTACCATTCTATAGTCAAAGGGAAGACAAGCTTCATGTCCCACCTACCAGAACTTTTGAACAAGCTCTCAAGAAAAATAAATTAAATAAGTAAATCAATAAAATACACAGATGAGAAATGAAATCAAGTGAAATGGAATATAATTAAAGAGTGAAAAAGGAAGATGCATTAGAGTCTCCAATCAATAAAAGACCAGGCTCACAAAAACAGTGCAAATAAATTTGACAAATTTGTTCCCAGCCACAAACTGCCATAGTTGACTCAAAAGAAAAAAAAGAGCTTCCACAGCCTCAATCCATCATAGAAATACAGTGTATCATAAAAAAACAGTTCTATAAAGAAAAGAGTGTATAGTGTATAGCCCCTAGTGATAGTCAAGCAAGGGACTATTTACACTAATCAGGTTTAGAAATTAAGAGGAGGCCAGGCATAGGTGGCACACTCCTTTAATCTCAGCACTCAGGAAGTAGAATCAGGCAGATCTCTGTGAGTTCAGGCCAGCCTGGTCTAGAGAATCCCTATTTTGAAAAACAAAAACAAAAACTAACAAACAAACAAAAAGAAATTAACAAGAGGTGTCTCTGTAGTTCATTTTGTAAGGCTAAATATTACTGTTATACTCAAGCAAGACCAACAAAACACTAATTAAGAAAAGCAGTTCCAGATGTAAAGACCGTGTTATAGCAAGTATTGCTCACACTAGGAGTATAGGACTATTTGTTGCTGGAAAACCAAGCAACTTAATCCACCATAGTAAATGGATTTTAAACAACTTCTGATTACATCATTTGGAGAAATAAGCATCCATTAAATATAAATAAAATAGTAATCTATAAAAACCCCAGAACTAAAGAGAAGATTAAATGTTTTCTGACCAAAATGAAGAATGAGAATATGTCTGACCTCACCCTTTCTGTTAAGCATCATGCAGTCCTACTTTCTGCAATAGGAAGGAAGGAGGAAGGAAGGCAGTGTAAAACAAAACAGTAATTCACAATTGTGACAATCTATGTAGGTTATGAATCAAAAAAAATGTGCTGACACTAAAACCTGCATTTCAAAAGTTTACATAATTAAATATAAATGTCTAAAAATCAATTTGGGATGGTGTATCGGCCAAACTGGGATGCACAAAACAGTATACAAGAGCATAAAGCACATGCTGATCTGAGTGAAAATGAAAAAGTCAACTCTAGGAACTTTAAAATAGTGCTCATAGAAATAGAGGAAGTTTGAATAAACAGCAAGTTAAAATATGTTCATGGAATGAAGACAGTTTGAGATGCCTTGTAATCTCAAATTGATCTATGAACTCAATAGGATTTCAGGCAATTTAAAAAAAATAAACCAAAAGACATAGTAATACAAAGGATCTAAGGTCGCCAAAAGAAAATTTTTGAAAAGTATATATCACTCTACATTTTCATAGAACAGGAGCTTATAATGTTATGTAATTGACTATCCTTTTTCTATAAAACACCATGTGGACATCATGGCATTCCAGAAGCACTCACATAATACACATGGACAACTGCTGCCAGCAATGGCTTAAAGGGAATTCTGGGGAGGGGTAGAATTGGGAGAAATAGGGTCAAGACACTTCCTTGCACAGCTGAATATAATTTTTCTAAATGAATGGTCTTGGAAACTTAACTTAGACCATACTGGGAAATTTAGATGAATTGCAGACCTAAAAGTTCAAACTATAAAACTTCTAGAAGACACACAGAGGAAGTCCTCATAATTTTGACAAGCAAGCATTTCCTAGATAAGAAACAGAAGCCCATTACCATAAAAGGACAAAGATTTTTCCAGTCAAAAGAATGGGTTATGTGCTCAGCCTGAGAGAAGAGAGGTTCAGTGCTCATCTGCCTTTTCTTTGTCCTCACAGACAACCTATCAGATGATCATGAATAGAGGCAGAGCAGCTATTACAGAACTGTGTGGGCATAAGCAATCCCATTTTAAATCTGGCAAGGCCCTGGGCCTTTACATACATAAAATTATTTGTGTGTCCCTGTGTACACATGTTCATGTGTTTGTGTGCATGTAAGGGTCAAATGTCAATGCCAGTGTCTCCTTCATCACTTATCCACCTTAATTATTTCAAACAGGGTCTGCAACTGAACCCAAAGCTCACTGATTCTGCTAGGCTCACTGTCCAGCAGACTGCAGGAATCCTCCAATCTCCTCCTTCCCAGCATTGGGGTTGTAGGTGCATGAGATCACATTTATGCCTGGCTTTTTTACATAGGTGGCAAGGATCTCAACTCAAGCAGGCACTATATCACTGAGCTATCCTTCCAGCCTACTGAAATGTAATTTTACATTGAATGTCTCATTTTACTTTTCTGTGTACTGTGAAACAACATAAACATCCCCTCTAGTCAAAGAGGTGTGGAAGGGGACTGAGACTGTTTGAAACTAAGTTTTAAAAATTCTTTTAGTTTGTATACAAGATAAAACTTGAACTCTTCAAATCCTGAACTCTTTAATAATCTCAGTTTGTGGGTTTGTGTGTGTGTGTGTGTGTTTGTGTGTGTATGTGCACAAGTGTGTACTTGTGTGTGTGTGTGTGGGGGTATGTGCAGAAGTAGAGGTTGACTGTCAGATGTCTTCTTTGATCACTTCTCCACTTAGTTTTTGAGAAAGAGTCCCTTATTTAACCCAAGCTTGCTGTTTGTTCTAGCAGCTCCCTGAATCTGGCTTGTTCACACTCACAGCCCTGAGATGATAGACCAACAGTCTTAGCTTTACTTTTTTACATGGCATCTGAGGTTTGAACTCAGGTCCTCATGCTTATGCAACAGGCACTTTGCCCATTGAGCCACCTCCCCTTTCTATAATTCCTAGTTTTTTTTCTACAGAGTAAATGTCTACCTAGACTGGTAAGGGACTAAAAAATATGACAATTAAGAACTGTTTTCATTCTAAGAACCAACACATAGGTTATTACTCTTGCAAGGGCATGCACACGTACACACACACACACACACACACACACACACATGCCTAGAAGACAAGTGCTAGGCTATTTGTACATACAAACGTAAGAAAATACTTGAGATTTACTAGCTGAAACTATTTTAGAGATTAATATATTTGAAAAAAAATCTTCCCAAAAAACATCTGAGTATGTAATATCAGAAGTTTCAGATTGAGGTATACAATCAAGGGAAGCCTGACACTTCCAAGTCAAGCTGGAACTAACAATGAATAGACTTTCCTTGACCTTACTTTTAGTCTAAGTGAATAGGACCTCCAAACATGAGCATAATTAATTATTATGTTATTTTGTAATAGTTTTTTATGTACTATAAAGATGAATTCAATTTGATCCATGTGAATTTCTCAGTTAAAGTTTACTCTAGACCTTAATCAGAATTTCTAATTGAACTCTGGTAGCTGAGTTTATAAGAAGGCAATCTCCTCTTTCTGAAGATTTAAAAAAAATGACCAGTAGATTCTGAGAATGTTGTTCTTACCACATTGAAATTTAAAAATAGAAACAGAATGTTCTCTGCCCATTTCTTGGAATAAATTCCCTGTGGCCTTCTTGCTATCATTTCTCAACTTCATGCATTACCTTTCTGGGTCATTCCAAGGTGATGATGAAAACTAGCACTAAACACTCACTGGAGTGTAAGAGGGAATGAGATGGGTAGGAAAACCCAGTGGATTCACCTTTTTATATTTGTTTATAATATTGCAGTTTGAACCAGATTAGCCACATCTCTGTGTAATTGTGAAGCTCTTCTCTTTGCAAAAAGTAAGAAACATTCACCACAGTTCTACTGTGGCCTTGTCATAAATGACAACAGAAATGAACTGAATAGTGAATCCAGGCTATTTTTTTTAGATGACTGCTATCTGCTATCTGCCTCACTCATATATTAATTGGGGTAGACTGTGCTTTGTACTTTATTGACACATTATAAAAATAAAATCCCATCATGCCTACTGAGATTTTTAGATAGATTTCATGACGAGATGCCCAACTTTGTATGGAAAATCTGATACTTTCCACTCTTTTTTTTTCATCCAACTCCATTTTTAATGAATGAACCAGGAATTAGTTTGAGAAATAATGGAGTAACTGCTAAATAGATATCATTTAGTCTTAAAAGTTTAAGTTCATTTCTGCTCTTGTTTATATTTGTAAGTTTCTTTCTTATTAGTTTTATATTTGATCAATGGACAAGTAATAGATGTTAATAGTATGTGATTACAACTTAAATGGTAAAGTGTACCAATTATATTATTTCAATATTTAAATATTTTCTACTTCATGCAAGTAAATGCTGAAAGTGGTAAGGAGTTCTGATGAGTTTCTACCGAACACTGTTATTTTTGTTGTCTTTTGTTTCTATCTGTCCAGGCACATTTGAATGAGAGCTACAGCAGAATGCCTAGGGAGGAGTCAGAGTATGAACAACAAGCCAATATCCTTCCTCCCAAACGCATATTTAAGGGCTGACATCATGGTCTTATGGCAGGAGCTACAGATGGAAGTGTAACTGGATTCAAATCAGGAAATTTTGACTCCATCAAATGACGGCAGGACAGATTCAGGGGGAAATGTCTGTAGGCTGTGCTAAGAAACTAGGCAGCAGTCCAAGCTATCATCATCATTCAAAAAAATAACTTCTGCCAAAAGAATAAAATAGACTACAGGCCAGTGATTGGGTGTCCTCTGGTTCTTCTATCTGACATGATTTTAGTTTACAGAAAATACCCAGAAAAATATGCTACCCTAGAAGACAGTCCTCACCTCTATCCTTCCAGCCAGCAGCTCCCTTCACCCAGGCTCCTGAGAATACTAGCCAACTGCCTGGTCACCATCCACTTAACCTCCATTCCCATCTCCTGAGCCAGCTGTGTTCTGAGTCATACCACAGGGCTGGCCTTAGCAACTCATGCAATCCAGCTGCCCAAATGACTTTCTGGGTCCCATCATCCAATTGCTATTTTAAATGGTATGACTGTGTTAACCAGTTCTATGAGTTCATCCAGCAAAAGGCAGACACAAAGTGAATAGTCAAGAATCAGAAAGAATGTGCTCCCTTGACTGTGACTTCAGCTCTGTCTGGACCAAGTGGGGGCTGGAGTAATGACTAACACAGAGGAAGCAGGACGGAGGGTCTTTGCAGTTGCTCCTTCAGTGTCTTCTTTCCTGAGCCTTGGTTTTTCTCTCCTCTCACTTCTCCCCTTTCCTTTGTTCTTCTGTATTAGAGGGGTTTTAGAGAGACTGAGCCCAGCCATGTATTCTGAGCATACATAGTAGTTGAGCATATTCCAAACTCTGGTTCCCCATCAGTTTCCTTCCTGTCTAGTTTATCTGTTGCTTTGTTGAGTTTTGCCTGCATCTTATCTTTATGAACAACTTCATCAAGTTTTAAATTTGTCTTCCTCAGGTTCCATTAATGGCTCTCAGCTGTCACTTCATACTGCCTTCCAAGCTGACGTGATGTTAACACAAGCATTTCAGTCATTACAGACCTATGTTTCATTTTGTATATTATTATGAAGATCTCCATGATATTTTCAGGAGGCACTGCCTGAATTGTGTGTTATTTAAGATATTTAAGAGTGTATTCATGCAGCAAATTAAAATTATGTTCATAGAGTATTAGAACCAGAAAACATTTCCAAGATCATCACATCTAATCTTTTAATTACACAGATGAGAAAATTGTGCCTCATAAAGCTCAACTGACTTACTCTAAATCTAATATTCAGTGTGGTTTAGGGCAAAATATACGAGAGAGATGAAACTACAGAAGGATGGAAAATTGCACACACACTAATTTCCTGAGAAATCCACTTTGGTTTTTGGCTGTTAACCACCTGAATAAGGCCAAGTTAAAAATGTCAATTACACAACACAACACACTATATTTTAAATCCTCAGGATGTGATTTCCCCGTGTGCTTGGGCTAGATAATGAGCTATCTGCTAAAGTGAGTTCCACCAAAGATGGACATATACAAGTCTCGTGTACTCTCAATTTCTAAAGCCAATGTTCCAGAACACAGAAGTTGAACTATTTTTGCCTGGATCAAGGTACAATGACCAAACTCCCTGGAGGAGAAGAAAGTGAAAAGCTGGCTAGAAACTCGGAGTGGGAACTTTTTTTTTTATTATTATTATGAGAGTAAGAGCTGTAGAGAAGATGGCTGGACACAAGGCTCCCAGAAAGAATACGCCCAGGCCCAGAAATGTGCAATACTTAGCAAGTAGACAGACCATTTGCCTGCTGTGAATATGCACTGTATGCTACTTTACTCCATCAAGTATCTTTCTAAGTATACTATAAGGATTAAGGCCCAGAATTCCTAAAATGGCACCCAGCTCAGATAGCATAATTACCCTATATTTAATAATGTTGGCATTGTTTTTATACTTTATTTCAGGTATTTCTGTGTTTTAGACATTAGATCTCTTTTGCAATAGAAACGATGTTACCTGATGATGCATCAAATGCTTCATACTTTATGGAAAATCCTTCATGTGAAAGAGCAGAGTCGGACACAAACATCAGCTTTATTGAATGGGAACTGCTGGTAAGAGAAGGTGGGATGGATTTTCCACAATATCTGTTCCAAACAAAGAAAGAAGAGATAAACAGATTTTTTTAGACACATAGTATATTTGAACTAATATTCCAAAATTTAGGACATGTAAAGATGATATATCAGGCTATTTTCTATTTCCTACCAACCTTGAAACCAAATACATTTCAGTAACAGTATAAACACACTTATTCATGATTCCCTAACTGAAAGAGTTGTGTGTCCAGCTGAGTGCCTTGACATAAATGGGAAGTTAAGCAGGGACAGCATTAGCCTGCTGTTAGCATACTATACTAAGGAACTCATTCATGGAACTGTAATATAGAGAATCAATGCACCTAAACTCATCCAGCACAAGCCCCAGCCAGTCCTGTCACTCAGGGGCATCATGACTTTGGGCACATAGCTCAATTTCTCTGCCTCATTTTCTTTGTCTGCTTCACACAGTTCTTAACATCTTCATCAGTTACTATATTGTACATAAACATTGAAAACAGTGTCTGGACAGTGACCTCTTGTATAAGGTGCCTACTGTCTTTTAACAGTTAGCCCGAGGAGAGGGAAAGGTATAATTAGTCATTGTTCCTTCATAACAAAGGAGGCTGGAGAAATGACTCAGCAGTTATGTGCACTGTCTACTCTTTTACAGGATGGATTCAATATCCAGCATCTACGTAGAAATTAGTAAATGTATGTAACTCCAGTTCCAAGGGATCCAATTCTGGCCTCTGTGGGCACACTCATGTGATACAGCCAATAAAATAAACTGGTACAAATAAATAAATATTTAAAAAGCAATAAGAATAACTCTGATTTCAACACAAACAAAATGATGGAGACTGAATTTAACTTTGCACTAAAAATTCTGAAACTGAGGGAGAAATATATAAGTGGCTCTCAAGACACTATCAAAGGAAGAGGGGAAATTGTCAAGGGCAGAAAATAAATGAATTAAAGGGAAAGGACTGACCAAAGTGACTTAATAATATTACAGGACAAAATCCAAAAATATTTTTATAAGAATTATAATGGTTAGTGTCCAAAACATAAAATTGAAAATTCTTAACAACCTATCAAATATCAAGTCCAAAAGGAAATAGGAAAATATAACTCATAATGAGAGAGAATAATCAACTAAAACATAGTATGTAATTACATAATCATTGAATGAGTAAAGAAAGACATTAAAATAATTACAATTGTATTACATAGATTTAGAAGGTCTGGAAAAATCAATATATAGATAGCAGCACAGATTCTGCATAGTTATGTGGTACTAAATGCTGGGCAACATAAATATGCATATGCAGAAAAAATTAAATAAATAAAACCACCTCAAAGTGTGTTAAAGAATTAATGTGGGAAGTGGAGTGACTAGACTAGCGAGACACAGGAAAAACACTTTATGATATGGGTCTGGACAAGGATTTCTATAGAAAGCACAGGCAAGTCAAGACAGACAGATGGAACTCTAGCAACCTATAAATGCTCTGCATAGCTAGGAACCCAGCAGAATGCATATTCAGCCAATAGAATGGGGATTACTGGAGAAACAGTTAATACCCAAGATATATGAGTAATACAAAACACTTAGTAATGACAATTGGAAATAATCTGATCAATATAATGGGCAAATGCCCTGAATGGGAATTATCCCTAACAAGACATAGAAATGAGTCATGAATCTATGAAAAAAAAAGGGGGGGGGGTTTATTACTCATTAACAAAGAAATGAAAACTCAAGACCCAATGATATGTTATCACTGTCTTAGATACTGTTCTATTGCTGTGAAGAAACATCATGACCAGGGCAACTCTAATAAAAGTAAGCATTTAATTAGGAGCTTGGTCACAGCTACAGAGCATTCAAACATAGGAGCCTATAGATCCATTCTCATTCCAACTCCATCCCAGACTCATCCTGTTATGATGACTGTTATAAAAAAAAAAGAGATTTTGTTATTGCTGTTGTTGGGAATGCAGAGAAAAAAGTAACCCTTATGCATTGTTAGTAAGAATGTGAACGAGTTATTGTGGAAAGCTATATAGAATTTCTTCAGAAGTTAAAAATGTAACTATCTTATGGCCAAGTGACTGTATCTGAAGGGAATTAAATCAGTATGTTGCAGACGTAACTACACTTTTGTGTTTATTACTGCCTTATACACAATAGCAAAGATATAGAAACACCCTGTGCCGTCATAGATAAATGAATAAAGAAATTATATATATATATATATATATATATATATATATATGTATGTATGTATTATGGGATACTATTTTATAAGGAATGCAGTCTTGCCACTCAGAAAAAAAAGTAGGTAAATTTAGAGGACATTATATTAAGTTAAATAAACCAGGCATAGAAATAGTAGGACCACATGATAGCTCTGATATATGGATTCTTAAAAAGTAGATAATGTAATGATGCTTACCAGAGCCTAAGGATAACTGGGGAGGAAGGAAAGATGCTTGTAAAAGGTAGAAAGGAGAGGACATCCCAAGATATCTATTACAAGGCAAGGTGACTATAGTTGATGACATATCATGATATTTTGTGTTATTACCAGTGAAATGATGACTATGCTAAATCATGTATTTGTCAATAAGATAGTATATAAGGTCAAACAAAATATGTTGCCAATTTACAACACAGACTTGAGAATATATATATATATATATATATGTGTGTGTGTGTGTGTGTGTATGTGTGTCTGTCTGTCTGTCTGTCTGTCTGTGTGTGCAGTACTGACTTTGTCTATGTACAAAAAGTCTACATATTATGCTTCAAAGTTTAGCATAAACAACAGAACATTCTTACCTCCCAAGAGACATCTGAGCACCAATGTCATAAACTTCCAGGTAATCATTTATGCAGCTGTAATGAAACTCCAGGTAAAATGACTCAAACGTCAAACGAATCAGTTGGCCTTGCTGGACTACTATACGCCAAGTACAATTTACACCACTTGGGTAGATATTTGGATAACCAGGACTTTCAATGGTTCCCATTGCTGCTGTAAGAACTTCTCCACATTCTGTTAAAATAATAACAATAATAATAACAATAGTTAATGAATAAGGTACACAGGTCCCAAAATAAAATGTGCTTATCATAATTTATTAAAAGCTCAAAATAAAACTGTTGCTTATCTGCCATATATGATAATTTAGTCTTCTATTAATGGAAACATAATAACTATTGGTAAGTATTTGTTGAAAGTATAGTCTTTGTTTTTAAGTGTACTTCAGAATTTTTCACAGAATAATTGATTTTATATAATTCATTTATTTTATGAAATTGCCTTTCCAGAGGTGGAGATTGAACCTAGAGCCTTATACACAGACAAACATCCCTAATTTAACTGCCCATTTATTATGATAGAAGCACAGAAGGGGATAAAGAGACATGTTCTTACCTAAATTCTCAGTACTGTACTTAGCCATGAAGCCACGATTTTCCACAGAAGAACTTTTCATAAATGTGACATAGAGAACATTATACACAGATGTATAAAATGATGGTATGTTTGTGCCACAAAACTTTTCATTTCCAGGAGATCCTAAGACCGAACTGCTACCAACCTTAGGAAAAGTAGATATAGCCAAGTTAATTTTTATTAAATGCCTAATTTGGGAAACTGTCACCCTTGGTGGTGAAGCTATTAGCAATCAATAAGTGTGTGTGTGGTGGTAGGGCGTGCACAATCAGTCCCTTTTGGGGACTGTGAATAGAATAAGTATTATTTCTTCTTTCCATTCAGGGTGCATTTTATTCTTGCATCATTTCTCTAGCAAGAGTTTCCATTATAGTGCTGAGCAGAAGTGATGAGACAATATGTCTGTCTTTCAACCAATCACGGAGGTGAAGCATTTAGTATCTCCATCACTGTATATGATGGTATGTGTATGGTTTTGGTGCCCTATATCAAATTAAGAAAGTTTCTCTTTCCACAGTTTTTAAAACTGTTTTTATTATAAGAAGCAGTCAAATTGTGTCAAGTGGGTTTTTTTGCATTTTATTGAGTGAATATATTGTCTATTCCTGTTATATTCTGTACTATAATGTTCCCTGATTTTTCATGCTAGTAAAAATCCCCCTTCATCATGTTCTATAATCATGTACATAATGTATTCTATTAAGTAGTGTTCTGCTAAGAAACTTCATATCTATATTTATGAGATATTGGTCTGTATAAGCAATAGTCCTTTTCATATAAACAGCATGTAGTGGCTTTAGTGGAATTCAATGGTATTTCACTCTTACCTCGATATAATCAGTATCGCAGGGGGCAGAAGTTCCAATCTGGAAGTCAGTGAAGTTGAGGAGAACAATCTGTTTGGGGGGTTGGGAGATGGTCCACCTACAGGTTCTTTGTCCAGGATATGCGTTAGGATGAAAAGGTGAGTGAATGACTCCTTCTCCTGTTAATTCACCCCCACAAGCTATAAATGGAAAAACAACCATGTTTGCTCAGAAATAAACTTTTTAGCTTCAGTGTCATTAAAAATCTAACTCTGATTAAGGAAACAGCAGAATGTGACATCTTTGGGAATATTTTCTATGCCATTCAAAAACATACAATAACTAAAATAAACTAAAAATTAAAATGTTAAAATAATATAAATTTAACATTAATAAACAAGTAAAAAGGACATTAAGGGGCTAGAGGGATGGCTAGTAGTTAAAAGCACTGGCTTCTCTTAGAAGATCTGGGTTTGATTCCCAGTACCCCTGTGTCAGCTTACAACCAGCTTCAACTCCAATCCCAGGGAATCTGACACATCTCCTGAACTCTGAGAGCATCAGGCACACATGCTGTGTTCAGACATTCATGTAGATAAAAAGCCCATTCACATAAAACAGTAAAATAATTTTTAAAAAGATAGGATTGAAAACATGACTCAGTCAATAAAGTGCTTGCTGCATATGCATGAATTCTGTTCCCAAGCACCCATGAAGCTTGGTACAATGGTGTGTGTGCAATCCCAGCTCTAGGGTGGTAGGGGATAGGGTGAGCACAGAGAGAGATGACACCCTAGAGCTTACTGGCCAGCCAATCCAACTGAATCATAGAGTTCTAGGTTCAGGGGAGGACCCTGTCTCAATAAGATGGAAAAGAATTGAAGAAGAGATTCAACATCAATGTGTTGGCCTCAATAGGCACAACACACACACACACACACACACACACACACACACACCACGTACGCACACATGCACACAACCACACACACGCATGTGCACACATGCGCACACACGCACACACGCATGTGCACACACACAAACAAGAAAGCAGAAGTTTCCTTACCAACTTGATAGTCAGCTCTGAAACTCGCCTTCTGGGTTAAAGCATCTATTCTCAGCCTGATCCAGACTTTGTTAGATATTGATCTAATGGGTAGCAGGGTTGCATTGCCACAGACCTTTCCAAGTAAATTGTTGTGGTCTCCAACCTAAGCAGAAAAGTAAAGAAGGATTTGTACAGTTAATCAGGAAAGTCACTTTAGAAGTCGGGCAGTATTTGGAGACTAGTCAATGGCACATCCAAAACAAATAAAAGCTTAATTTAGGTAGTGTCTATATAATATTTAGAAATAGTACAAACTAGTAGTACTAAATATTGATAAAAATCTTTAGTGACTACAGTTCATCACTTCATAATTCTTAACATGTGCTAATAATTTCCACAATATCAAAGAGAAAATAAATCTGTAACTACAGTTTCCCCAAACAACAAGAGCCAAGAATATAGCATATGAAAAGATAAAAGTTCAACTAAGTCTGTAATTAAAGGAATAAACTGTGTTTATTACCCCCCCAAAAAAAGTCAGGAGGAAGGAAGGGGAAAGAGATATACATAGAGAGAGAGCCTAGTGAATCAATACAAAACAAGAACAAAACCATTAAAATGTTTAAAAAAACATAAAAACTAACACTAAAACCTAATAATTAAAATATTAAAGGAAGCAAAGAACAGCTTTTTAAAAGGACGGTCAAGAATGGGAACACCAAAGGCAAATTTTAGACAAATGAGAAAACCAGAAATATGTCTAAGTATATAAAATAAAAATTATAAACATTACAGAGTCTAAGAAATAAACAATGAATTAACTTTGTAATTCTGTGTACAGTCTTTGCCAGTCTTTGAAAGTTCAAGATAGATTATTTTCATAAAATTATATAAATTTTATGGGAATTAGAGGAATACTGCACCACGGGCAAATGGAGTATCACTAACCAGTTCCTTCACCCCACCTTCCCAAGAAGGAAGCACCGTAAGAAGATGATGTATATTTGCTAAGTCTTTCTCAACCTTTACGGAACAGATAACTTCCGCATAACACTTGTTCAAAGGTCCCCAGGCATGGCACAACTCTCTACTACCAAATTCTAACATAAATAGTAAAAAATAAAAACCATGGATCAATTTCACTTATTAATATACAGACTCTAAACACAGTTCTAGAAAAATAAATTTACAAAGCACAGACTCAGTGGGTAAAGTGCCAAGCCTGAGGACCCAAGTTTGATTCGGCAGGGCTGACACAGCGAAGCAGAGACCTGATTCCTGTAAGCTGTCCTGTCCTTCTCACATGTGTGCTGTAATGCAACTGCCAACACATACACAAACAAATAAATACATGTAATAAAATTAGATCAGTGCAGTGGCCACAAACTGTGTCAATGGCCCAGTTCTTGTCCCCATCTTTCATCACCCTCCTGAATTGATAACCTTAGCAAGTTACTACATCTAAGCCTAGATAATGAGATGGAAAGGGATCTGTGAGATAGTAGTTTCCCAACACTTCTGGTAATAAAACATCAACTAACGAAGAATTCTTGTTATTTCTGACATTTCTAAAAGTGGAACACTGGAGATTCTCCCCCACAGTTGGGAATTGTACAAAGAATACACAAGAGACTTTAGTTCCATGAAATTATTCTGCAGGATGGCACGCCCTAATATTAATCTACTCTCAATTAGCATATCAAGGTCTCTGTAAGTACTATGCTGGCAGAGTGCCCTAGGACAAACTTGAGACAGGCACAGATACTCTCTGAAGCTGTGGCAAATGTGATGCTAGTGTAGGACCAGGGCTCAGCACAGTCCCTTAACCTGTGCTAAACACAGTGGCCACTATAATTAGGCATTTGGGGAAATGTTAGGGCATTTTTTTTATCTATTATTCTGATTTTGGTGGGGAATGACAAGCATAGAGTAGTTAAGAGTCTGAAAGGTAACAGTCACACACAAGGATTCTCTAGCATCCTGTGTGATTTTCCCTTAGGTGAAAGTTTTGCTGTTGAACACAAAATCTAGTCCACTTTTACATATATAACATAAAGTACTTTTGAAAATTTATAATATTCACAATTTTCCAGGATGACAAGTAAAATACAAAAGTACTTTCATCTTCCTTCCTGAGAGCTGCCAGGAGGATCTCACTTTTCAAAGAGATCAGTCACTGGCACATCAGCCTGCGTTTACTCAGGAGAATTCCTGGTAGTGTAGGAGATAAACAACTGACTCCGTTCTACCTCACACTGAAGCTTGTCCAGGCCTTTCACATATTGCAATAAATTTTGTTGCCTTAATTTTACTTGTAACTTAATGTTTTTAATATAATGTGTAGAAATATGTATAGATGGATTTCATTTCAGAATAGTAAAATGATAACATAATAGGATGTTATATTAGAAAAGCTCTCTGTGTGCAGGGAGTTAAGGAATACTCGGGAGACATAACTTTTAAAGCTGAGGTCAGTGAGAATTACTTAGGTTAAGGGAAGTGGGTAGTAAATGAGAGGTTGGTGGGATATTATGACATTGTTCCTCATCCAAAACTGGTAGAAGTGCAAAGGTCTGGAAGGGTACCTGTCAATATACAGAATTACACCGCAAATGCTGTCATAAGAGCATCTGAGATGCAGACAGTTTTGTATGTGGATCCATAGCCAAGGATGTTCTGAGAAGAAAAGAACTAGAACTATTTTAAAGGCTTGGCCACATGAGGTAATCACATTCTGTTCCACTGAGGCAGGCTCATCCCAGTTCTTTACGCCAAGCTCTTGACATCTACAACACAAATTTCTTAGTCTTCAGTCAAATTACACTGTTTGACCAAACAACAAGTTTCAGAGGGAAGATAAAGTGTCCTTTCAAGTATCTAGCAAAAGCAAAACAACCAAGCAAACAAAACAAAACCTCCTGCAGGGAGGTGCTTACAGTATTTGACAAATTTTTTTTTGTCAGTTAATGTGAAACCTGTGTAATCTAACAATTCAGTCTTTAACAGGGACAGAATCCATACTTCAGCTCTTGAAGACTAAAATACATGAAATACGAGGAAGATAGTGTCCTGTCCTCTAATCCCCGGGGTTCTATTTGCTCTGTGATCATTGTCTCTCTTTTCTATTAGTCCATTAAAAGATGACAAGAAGGAAGAAAAACATCAGAGCAAGCTGAAGTGGGCTGGTCCCCTGGGTTCTGATTAGTGAAACTCAAGGACATTAGCAAGGGAGAATGCAGCTGCCATCCAGATGTCATACAAGGAACTTACAGGCCTCAAGGGCCCTCAACCTGGAAGGTGCAATTGATTTTGGCTGTGTTTCTCTCCTTGTGGAAGGATACATTATTAATTCTGGAAACCTGTACTCTTCCTGGATCCAAGGCATAGCAATATTTAACCACCACATTTTAAACAGAGATACTGGAATAAAACTTACCAAATGCTCTAACTGACCCCAAATTCATTTGTAGTTAATATCTTAGGATTTGTAAATTCATATTCTCATCAAAACAAAACAAAACAACAACAGCAGCAACAACAACAACAAAAACCCAACCAAACAAAAACAAACAAACAAAAAAAACAAAACAACAACTCTTTTCTTTTTCTTTGTGCTTGGAAACTAGAAGAAACAATTTCATATTTCATAATCACAGGCTTCTTTTATGTGAGAGAATTGAATATCTGTTCTCTGTGTGAGACTTGTCATGTCTCCTGATGGAGCACTAACACTTAATCCTTCCCATGACTATGAGGTTCACTGCAGGAATTGCTCAGCCTTGAGGAATTCCAGTAGATAAGATGAACCTATTTCCTTGTAGAGGCTCTGGCTGTCATTGGGTGACTCAATCATCACTGTTTATTCTTTCCTCCCCAGAGACCAGGGGCCTTGGCCAAAAGCCAAAGCCCTAGGAGACAGCAGCAGAGCCTCAAGCAGAACAGATCCCAAATGGACATGTTGACAGGGACAGAAAATAAACATAGTATTGAACCATGGGATATATTCTGTTTGTTATCATTTTTTTATTTGCCTAAGCCATGTTAATAATTGCTTATTATAGCACAACCTGAAGAAGGATAACTAATATTGAAACTGGGTTTTCAGTAACAAAGTTTCTCTTCCTTTGAGAAGTCATGAATGCCATGCAATTTTCACTTGCAGGGGAGCACAATAAATTCATTCATTTAGTGGTCACATTTACAAAGGAATCACATGGTCAATACAAGATGCTAGTGTTCTATGACCAGGGCTCAAGTTTTTCAAGGGTTTATTTTGTTTCACTGTATATGTGTAGGTCCTTGTGTTTACACAGGTGCACATGTATGTGAGGGTGTGGTGTGTGTGTGTGTGTGTGTGTGTTTGTAAGAGCACAAGTGGAGGTTGAAGGACACCTTAAGGTTTCATTCTCAGAAACATTATTTACCTCCTTTGAGATGGTGTCTGTCCCTGCTCTGGAACTTACAAAGAGGTTAGACTGACTGACTTCAGGGGGAGTCTTTTGTCCCAGACACCCCAGTGCTGGGATTACAAATGTGTGCCACCACACAGTTTAGAGATCCAACTCAGACCTTTATGCTTGCAAGGTAATTTCTTCACCAACTGAATATTGCTGTCTGCCTCTCAAGGATTTATTTACTCATTTTGTAAATACTGAATGTCAGAACCCCAGGATATAATGAGCAACCCTGGCTATTTAGCCTATGAAGTATTGCAAATGGCATTTATAGGTTGAATTAGCTCCTAAAGAAAAACTACCTTTTAAACATGGGTTCTTATAAAGGAACTACTTCCTGTACAGAGAGCTAAGATTAACTGGGCTGCAAAACATAATTCATATGAAAATTTAAGTGCAGGTTATAGAGCTGAGTAAGCAGCAGACTTTGACATCTAGAATAGATCAGATCTCCAAGCCATGCCTTAATGCAAATGTGCATTTCTGTGTGTGCTAACTATCCGAATTTGTTTTTATACCTCAAATCCTAAAATCCATTTAGGTATGAAAACTTAATTCAAAGCAAACCAAATATGCTAAAACTAGGAGGTTTGCCCTATCCAAGGGCTGAAAACAGAAAACAGAATCTGACCATATGATAACATTAAATATGTTAACATATTCTCCGTGAATTGAACTGCAAGATGATCAACAATTTGGTGGCAGAGGGACTTGATCTTAACAATGTTTGGCTAATACAGGTAAATGGAAAAGGACTGGTTCTTCACCCCAAATAAAAGAATGATATGCAAGGGATAGAAGATGAATGATAATAGGCATGCCTATTTATATTACTATTATCATCATTATTATTGGCTATTATTTTTTATTCTTCATTAGCATGTTTGACCATTTTGAGGCTAGCATTTCAGCATTTTAAGAACATTTGAGATCTATTAAATAGTATTGGCTCCAATAGCTCTATCAATAAAATTACCGGATTTTAAAATTTAGTTTATAAAATCAAGAAAATACAATCTATTTTTTTCCTAGACTATCTTCTCCCCTGATTCTAAACCACAGCATGCAAGCTTCCTTTCTCCTTCCCATCATTCTCATCATTGTTTTGTAATAACCACTCACTAGTAGGTACTGTGCTGAGAGTCTGCTAATAATCTTCCCAGGCTCTCAGAACACAACCCAACCTCTTTATCACAGCTTGTATGGCCACATAGGATTAATGCTTGCCTAATTCTTTTCTCTTCTTTTTTATGATTCTAGTCCCTGTAGTCTGTAAGGTGTATGGTTTTTCCGCCTGCCGCCTGGTCTTGTCCTGCCGTCACGCCGCCAGCCCCAAAAAATGCACAGAGACTTTGTATTTGATACAATGCTATTGGCCAGGTGCTAGTTTCTTACCGGCTAGCTCTGTCTTAATTATTAACCCATTTCTATGTATTTCCACGTGGTCTTACTGAGAGCAGAGGAATGGCCGTTCTGCTTTCTCCAGACTCTCCATCTTGACTCTCCTTACTACTTCCTCTTTTCTCCTTGTCTCCTAGTCCCGCCTATCTTACTTTCCTATTGGCCAATGCTTTATTCATTAACCAGTATGAGAAACATATACATAATGGCATCTCCCATCAGTAGTCTGTTTTCAGTTTTTTAGTTTATCATAAATTATATCATTCAGTGTCTGGGGTTGTGTTATCCACTGTACCTAGCATCCCCTTTCTCTTGGATATTTGTCTTGCCAGCTCCCAACCTGTAGACCCAGAAAAGCTATTGCAGACCAGTTATAATAGTGATGAAGTCAAGAGATCCATATTTTCCTCTTATTTCACTCCTTTATAATATTTTTTAATGTTTAATCATAAATATAGAATTTATGGGGAGTGGAGGAAGCCCTGAGCAAGTAAAGTCCTGAGTGAATGTGCGCTGTTGACATGGATATGGCCACATCAAGGACCTTAGCCTCAGACCCACAGGGAGAGTGGCAAAAGCCTTCCCCTGGATGAGTCTCAGAGGTATGGCAAAGCCTTGCTCTGGTCTATGTGCAGATGCTGGCAGTGTGTGCAGAGAATGTCCACCATAGCTTTCTCCATATGGGTATGTATGGCCTGAAGGCTGCTCTTCTATAGAGACTGTTCCTACTGAGGTCAGCTAAACCTGCCTCCTTGTTAATTGGTATATAATAGTCTGCTTCCTTTTTTATTTGTATATAATAACCGATATCCTTGTTCACCTGTATACAATAACCCTGCTTTTCTGCCCAACTGCAGATAATTAGTGAGTTGTGCTTCTGGGATACTTCATTTTCTCCATCAGAGAGCAGAGCACACCTGATCCCAGCTCTTCTTTATATTGGTGTCTTTGCTTTCTTTCATTCTTTCTCCATCCTAATCAAACCTGGCCCCTGAGGCTGTGCGGATACAGGACAGTTCTAAGAAGGCAGATCTTCCCAGAAACCCTTCTGTTTTTCTCAAATGCATGCCCTCCCATTCTGTCAGCCTGTCCTGTAATGATCCTTTTCCAGTTTCCCTGAGTGAAGTATGGGGAATATTGTTCAGAATATAAGTGGAGTGTAAAATTCCATTCATTTCCCTCCTTGGCCTGTTTTAAGCATCAGCCTTAATGTCATATACTTTAGACATTCTTACTCAGTCTAAACATTTTCTGGAATAAAAATTTGAACTTTCATTACTATCCTGTGTCCTTCATTCAGAGTAGTCCTCATGGCTTAAGCCACTTATGATATATTAATGAGAGACACGGCTTTGTGTTCTAGAAAGATGTTTCTGTGACATCTATCATAATGTTGTATATAATTTAAAAGCTCTGTTAGGCAAGAACAAATGAACTAAAAGTTAATCTCCCTTTGAATTCTTCTTTTGTAACCAGGTCACACTAACCATAGGCGAAATGTGTTTTTAAGAAGTCGAAACTTTAGTTGAGATGTGTGTGTCTGTGTGTGCATGCCTGTGTGTGTGCATGTATACATGCTTGTGTGTATGCATGCACATGTATGTGTGTGCATGCACATGTGTGTGTGAATGTGGCTTTTTTTTTGTTTAAGATAACAATGTTCTTTTATAATCTCCATCAAAGCCTTATGAGGTGGTGCACACATCAGAATGTAAATACTTACATGGCTGGCCATGAAAGAGTCTTACTGGCTGATTCTGGACTGAAAAGATCGGCACAAAAGCCGAAAATTTGGTCTAGGAGACCTTATATTTTTATAATGCTTTGTAATAACCTATAAGGCTTTTTACTTATTCCTTTTCTCGATTTTATTCTCCCAAAGGTTAAAGAAATAGATACGGCATCTTACTGAAGTAGGAACAAAAGTACTCAAAAGAACTGTCCAAGGTTTCACTGACCTCTAATAACAGAACAAAGTAATAATTTAAATCATTGAACCCAGTCACATTCTAACTACAAAATATTCAGCCACTCTGCTTTGCAAAATTAAGTAGTCGGGTGCCAGTTTTGTGATTTTTGCCCTCCCCCCCAACATTTTAAAGAATTCGGTAGATGGGTAGAAATTCATGGAGTGTATTCATCAAAGACACAAAGGCTCTATCATTCCAGATGTGCTGATCCTATAGCCAGCAGAACAATCTCTGCAGGAATGCACAGAAACTCTGCAGAGTCCTTCGATATCACAGTGATGTTTTTGTTTGTCTCAGACAACTACTGTGTCTACCTATGTAGTCTCCTGAGACTTGAGAGTAGGGTGTGAGATTCACAGAGTCATCTCTCTAGAGAAGTCTAAGCTCCTCCATGGTTAAAGGCACACTACTACAAGTCTATTCTTGCAAGAGACTAGTGCAACTCTTAAATTCAAACTGCTACACACTAATCAACAATTGTGGGCAGGTAACTTAACTTCTCTGAGCCTTGAATTCCTGAGATTAAAACAGGAGGCTATGGGGATTTAATGAGTTATCATAATTCTGTGTAAAGACTGACTGGGCAATATGGGCAAATATTTGACTTTCTCTATGTTGTGGTGTCTGACACATAAAATTGCTATAGGAAATTTATCTGAAATTATGATCATATCAGTAAATCGAGTTGCATTCACGTGCATGTGCCTTAGTGATTAGAGCTCCATTGAGCAGCTTATGACTCATCACTATTATGAGTTTCTAGTTTCAACTCTCCTCTTAGTGCTTCTTTGGCTCCCTTATCAAGCTCTTGCTTTACCTTCTTTCAGTCTGTGTTAGACAGATTCTTTAGATGCCCTAGAACACCTGCTCTTGAATTCTCTCTTCATCTGACAGCTTCCCACTCCCCCAAAGTGCTGGTTCAGAAAAAAAAGGTATAAAATGCCATTTCTGATAAGCTCTCTGATGATCTTGACAGCCATTTGAAGACCACCACTCTACGGAATGTGAAAGTTGTAATGAGTGTCCCAGAAGGAGAACTAGGTGGAAACGTTACCTCGATGTAAGTGTGAGTACAGCCCATTTGGCTCTCCAGCTCCACGTGGGTGAAGCTGATATCTATTTTCTCTCCTTCAGGCTGTGTGATGAGGTAGACACACTGTCTGTTGTGACTGAAAGGTCCAGTCAGGAGAGGAAGGAGGAGCTCACCCTCTGCGCTTGTGTAGTTTCCACCACAGTGCAGATCCGCTGAGGAGAATAAAGGAGAGAAGGAATGGTCATGGGGATTACATCCCTCTGGCTTGATATATTAGATTCAGTTTTCAAAACTATACCCACCCTGCTTTGTCTACCATGTGTAAGTCCATGCCACTCATTATAAGATTACATATGTGTGTGGACATAACTGTGCATTCAGCCTGAAGCCAGAGCAATGGAGGAAGGGGGATCAATGAGAACCCTTACTGTTTTTCCTGATATGGAGATGTACAAGGCATTTACCCCATGAGTTCTCACCAAGAACACAGTAACAGGTGTCAAAAGCAAAATTCTCTAAAGAAGGTCATATAGTATTTCATTTTTGTTCTTTGTTTCTAGGTATGAATGTAACTAAAAGCATCATAGCTATGTGTATGGAAGCGAACTCTAGGTACTGGAATGGCTTCCTGGAAGTTGGTTTCTGTGCACTGGGCTTGATCCAGGAATGAAGCTAGATGTTTCTCAACAGCCTGCACTGTTCTCATGAACAATCTTGCATGCAGCAAAATAGGCAATGTTACTAGAGAACTGAAGTTCTGAATTAGTTAGAACTATGGGTCCCTTAATATGGATCCCATAATTGAAGGGTTAAGGGGTACTGCAGTACTTAACATTGTGGAGATAAAGAATGAATCTAAAGTGGTATGAGAAATACTCACAAAGCCATGTCACTAATCTAAGAAAGCCTCCGTTTTAGGCATCGCCACAGGATGCAGCTGTGACCATAGCACTACACTCCCAGTATACAGCCAGTCTGCGTGGGCAGGGTACTCACAGGGTGTGGTTAGATAGGTTATGTGGAAGCCTTTGTCAGTAATGTCAGCATCAGAATGGAAATGAATGCTGGCAGCAGGGCCTGTAGTCTGGAGCGGTGGGGTAGACAGAGAAGTGCAGAATTTTCCAAGAATGGGGTCTTGTTGGAAAGGACCATCTCGAATCTAAAACAAAAGAACAAGACATTATGTTGGAATTAGTCAGGTTCTCACTAACCAAGATGCTTGGGACATAAGTTTCAGAAAAATCTGTCATTTAGGTATGGTAGCAAGGCATAGCAATCTAAAGTACTGGATTAACAAAATCTATCATATCATTTAGGAAGTTTCCCAATCATATACATGACTAACACACAGTCAGTGTTCAGTAAAGAATGTGTCTTCATGGTCCTGTCAAATTCCTCATCTACTGCTGGAATTTCAACTCTGGGGTAAAATACATGCTTTGGATTTTTTTTTTTTTAATGGTGATGTAAAGTTAGTGTTTTCTTTCATGGTTCCCTATTCCCTAAAATAAGAAATCCTAGTAGTTTAGAAGAATAAAATGAGTATTTCAAGGAAATGGAAGATTGAAAAACAGTGCTGCGAAAGGGTCTGACACTTGGGTGAGTACACGGGTGTGCAGAGATGCAGGTGGGAGAGAATAAGCATATTAAAGTGATGCTTTAAAAGCTGTGATGGTCATTTAGCACTATATACAGTAGCATACTGTATGCCAACTGTGCAAACTTACAAATTCTTTTCCTATGTTCTCATGTGTGTGACTTCTGTGCCTGTGAGAGTGTGTATGTGAGTTACAGGTATAGGTGTATGTATACACACTCGTGTGTGTGTGTGTGTGTGTGTGTGTGTGTGTGTGTGTGTATGTGTGTGTATCTATAAGTTTGCATGTGTATTGTGGGCCAGAGCATTCTTATGGAGGCAGAGCACACGTTCATTAAGTAGTTCTCCCCTTCCATTTTCAGATCTGGTAATCAAACTCAGGTCCTCAGGCTTACTGAACAAGTGCTTTTACCAGCTGAACCATTTCACCTATCCAAACTCTAATGATGTAACCTCAACTCCATAATGTAACTTCAAATCAATGGTTTCCTCCTCTCCTCTCCTCTCTTCTCCTCTCCTCTAATTTCCTCTCCTGCATCCTTCCCTCATCCTCACTCTCCATTTTTTAGCAGGACTGCGGCTTGAACCTAGGGTCTTGTGTAATCTCCATTCCTTAAAAACTCTTGTTGGCTTTTTATGCATTGAAGAAATCACATTGACTACTCAATGATTCTAACATATTTACAAATATATATATACTATATAGAACACCATGGAGTGAATAAACTGAAGAATATTCTCATATGGTCAATTTCATTTACTCAAATTAATTTTTCCATTGGCAGCAAATTTATTGGGCAATGCTACTTTATTTTTTTACTTGTAACTAGTTCCTTGAAACACTGAGGGAGTTCAATATTGTCCCGATGATTGATACTTTCTATAATGTGGTTTCAGGAATTAATATGTAAGAATAAAAAGGCTTTAATCTTAATTTGATAGGATTTATTGAATATTAATTTCACAATAACTCACTTTTTACTGTCAGCTTTTAAAAGGATATTTTGCTAAGACTTTCCAAGGAGAAGTTGATCTTTGAGTCATCCCCAAAGGTTTCAAATCCATTATTACCACGGCTAATGACTAATGACTTCAGTTTTGCAGACCTGCTTGGCAGCTGCATCCTTCATCCTTTATGAATAATTCCACAGCACTCCTTCCTTTTCTAATGGGTTGAGAAAGGCTCACTGTCTCTTTAGCAGTGCTATGGGGTACTGAGATTTACAGTACAAAATTACAGGAAGCTCCTAAGGACTCAATCTCCTTAGTGACCTTTCCACTCTACAAGTGGAGAGCTACCTTTGTGATGGATCTAACTGTGTATGGAATTTGAATGTAACAGGCTCTTTTCTCATCTATATGATAAGTCTTTGCTAATGGGATAGAACAGGCTGACTCTGCTCCTCTCAAGGGTGATTTTCAACATTTTCCAGTGAAATTTAACACTGACAACACTTCCCACAGAATCATTATGACCCACTAAAATCAAGTGGCAGGACACCCTGAGGGCTTGCCTTGGACAACTAAAAATTAGAATGTGTTGGAGGAGACAGCCATTGCTTAGGATTTATTCTCACTCCAGGAGCCTGAATCTCTAGTTAGGGATGGGGGAAGGCAAGGCACATACTTCCACACTTAAGGCAGACCTAGAAATGAAGTAACAAACTAATGTTATTGAGATTAAACATTTAGCATCAGCTGCCTAAGTATTGGTAAAAATCCAGGGCCATCCATGGGCATCATTAATGAGTGCTAATCATACTATACCAAGGCCTATCTAAATGCAGGGTTTTTGTTTTGTTTTGTTTTGTTTTACCTCCAAATAATCTTTGCTGCAGTCATTGTGGCTCTCCAGGCTCAAGGTCCCAAAGGTAAATGTTATCAAGGAGCCAGGACTGACTAGAATGTGCCAGACACAATCTCTTCCTGGAGGGTAGTTTCCAGGATATCCCGGAGATGTAATAGAGCCATAATCACCAGTCAGTGTGCCGCCACACTCTGAAATAAGGAGAAAAATGACCAAGTTCATATGTGGACTAAATTCACACAGAATTCTCATAGACTCTGCTGTCAGAAGGCAAGATCTTTTATATCACTATGATGAAGTTAGATTAGAGGCCCTCATAAATTACATAGTCCTTTGAGCTATGGTTTCACACTATAAATCTACCATACACTGATAAGTAAACAAGTCATCCATGCAGGAACTCTGTACCTACAGAACATTGTATGGTTATGTGATTTAAAACACAGAGCTGAGCCTTCTAAGACATAAATAATGAGAATATAGATTCAGATCTTTACCCTAGAAGATTAGTTTCAATATATTAACTATGAAAATTCTGGAACTTCTGTCAGCCCCTACATCTTTCAACAAACTAGAACACTTTATATTTCAAAATAGTTAAGGAACACATAATTTTCTTTTGAGAAGGATTTTCATATACTATAATGAATTATTATATTTGTATATTATACAATTATAAAATAAATTGTCTTATATAAATCATAAATTATATAATATATAAATTATAAAATAAATACATTGTTCACTTTATAAATGAAGATATTTAAATGTACAGGGTGATTAAGTCACTATCTCAAGAATGAAGCAAGTAGGGCACTGAATTGGGCTCGGTGGAAACATCTCCAGCACACCATGCCAACTCCTTCTGTTCTGGTCAATGACTGGAAATGTTGAGAAGAATTCTTTCTCTTTAATAGTCACGTTTGATAAAGAATCTGTGGTGGTTAGTAAGGAATGTTATTGTAGAATCAAAAGGTAGAAATGCCAACAAATCCAGACTTTGATACATATACTTTTAGAAAGAAATGAACTAGCTGGATGGTGGTGGCACACACTTTTAATCCCAGCACTCAAGAGGCAGAGGCAGGCGAATCTCTAGAGTTCAAGACCAGTCTGGTCTGTAAGAACTAGTTCCAGGGAAGCCTCCAAGACATAGAGAAACCTTGTCTTGAAAAACAAAACAACAACAAAAAACAACAACGACAACAAAAAATAAAAAGAAAGAAATGAACTAAGGTGACATTTTAAGTATGTAAAATAAGATATTCATGTGACAATACACACTACTCAGACAAATCTTTTATTACCAAAGCAAAACCTGAAACAGTTACACAGTTTTCATTGCTCCTCAACAGGGAACATCCAAGTACATTTTATAAAACTTAACTTAAATCTACCATGAGTATAAAACTTCTTAATTTGTAAAATAATATAATGAAAAATGTTAAAGATCAGATGTAGATGTAATACATAACAGTTACCACCCATAATGTAGAAAATTTCAAAACAGAGTAGTAGAATGTAAAGTACACTGAAAAAATTCCAGTGTCCCTTATACATGTAGAAAAATGTCCAGGATCTCTGCTACCACTCAACTAAGGTTTATTGACTTTCAAGTGATGAAAGTCCAGACTTTTAAAACAAATTACTAGACTGCCTGTGAAGAAATAGTCACTGTCCCCCATTATTCTAAAAATATAGAATGGTCTGACCACTGCAAATTTGTGCAAAAATGTCATATAAAATAACAAAACCTTATGCATGCTTTTTGACTGAACAATCCCAAAGGCACAGAGGAAAAGTTGGAATAAGGCCAATATACAAGGTGTTTGTTGCACCGGTGTGGGGGCAGTATGGAACAGGAGATAAAATGAAGAGGGGGATGAGGGATGGAATACAAGGAGAGACCGCTAAAAATTAAGGACCAGATAGGGAGTAGTATAGAAGCCTGATACAGTAGAAGCTTCTCTCTCTCTCTCTCTCTCTCTCTCTCTCTCTCTCTCTCTCTCTCTCTCTGTCTCTCTCTCTCTCTCTCTCTCTGTGTGTGTGTGTGTGTGTGTGTGTGACTGGGCATGTCTTGTCACCAAATGAAGTTTCTAGTATCAAGATTGGATTACATCTAATTGAGCTGTTGGTCAAAGGGGTCCTACAGAGTCCCAATCAACCCAGGCTGTTGACAAATCTGTAGGTTGCTCTACTCAAATTATGGCAAGGTTCCATTGCTGAAGAAAGTACCTACACAGCTAACTGAACATGGGGAAGTTGAGCTGATGCCTACATAGAGCTTTATCTTCTATTTTTCTAGCATCTTTAATATGGGAAGTTACCCTACAAGCTATCGAAAGAGAAATGTAAACACCAAGCCAGCCACAAATCCTTTGATCTATGATGATGTCCTAACTACAAGATGTGCTAGAGCAACGGTAGCACAAAGCTTGTGGGAGTAACCCACCAATAACTGATTTACTTAAGGCTCACTGCATGAGATGTAACCAATACCTAGCACTGCTTGGGAAACTAAGAATCAGAGACCAGGGAAAACCAAATGCTACTGTCCTTAAAAAGGAAAAGAAAAGAAAAAAAAGCATCAATGAAATGACTCCTAAGTACAGTCTTCTACACTCATAAATCAGTACCTGCTCAACCATCATCAGAGAAACTTTTTCCTGTAGCAAATGGGAACAAATACAGAGGCCCACAACAAGACATCATGGAGAGAGTTTGAACTTACAATATTCAGACATAAATTGGATATCTCAATCAAATCCCTCCCTTCAGGGCTTAGGGAACCCCATGGAAGAAAAGGCAGAAAGAATCCAAAAGTTAGACAGGATAGAGGACATGAGGAGAACAAGGCTCTCTAAGTCAACTGAAAGCTCATAAGAACTCACAGAGACTGAGGCAGCAAGCACTGGGTCTGAATGGGTCTGCAAGGTCCTCTGCGTACATATTATGGTTTACAGTTCAGTATTTTTATGGGATTCCCGAGTGTGTGAGCGAGTGAGTCTATATTTTTGCACCTTTCTTGGGCTATTTTCCTTCTGTTTGCTTTGTCTAGGACAATTTTAATTTTTTTTGATGAGTTAGTTTTTGTTTTATCACATCACATCATATTTATATTATATTATATTATATTATAGTCCCTTAGAAACATGTTTGTTTTCTTATGAGAGACAGAAAAGGAATGGATCTGGATGGAGGGGGAGGAGGAGAGGAGCTGAGAGGAGTAAAGGGGGAACTGTAATCAAGATATATAATTGAGAAAAATGTCAGTTTTCAATAAATGAGAAAACAAAATACAAGAAGAAAATTAAAATGTGCACTCTGCAACAGAGAAATCTTTAAATGGTGACTTTTAGCATTATATTGGACACAGCAGAAGACAGGACCTTGTAGACTTTGGGAGCTCATTCCCCATGGAGGGATACCTCTTAGCCTAGAGGCAGGAGGGAGGACCTAGTCCCTACTCCAAATGTCTAGACAGACTTCAATGATCCCTCCTGGAAGGCATCACCCTACATGTGGAGTTGGGAGGGAGGGATGAGATGAGGGTTGGGGGGGGAGAGGGAACCGGAATTGATATGTAAAATAAGAAAAATAATAAATAAAAAGAAGAAGAAGACAGTGTCTTGTATACCTAGACATTCCAAAAATTCCAAAAGGAAGTAAACAAATGAATCAAGGAAGAAAAAAAAAAAAAAAAAAAAAAAAAAAAGAACTGATTGAACTGATTGAAAGGGGGAAGGAATAAAAGAGAGAGAAAGCAGTGAAGTACAGCCGTACAGCCATGACCTTTTATATATTGAGAGGTGACCAGGATATTAGAGGGCAAGGCATGGAAACTAAGTATTACAATTAACTTTCCAGAGAGAAACTATGGACAACAGAGACAATGAAAGGGCAGATTTAAAGGCTGGCAGAAAAGAAACTTAAAGTCTCATGTATGATAATATTCATCTAGGGTGAGAGTATAAAAGTGACTGACTGGTCCAGTAAATACCGATGCCATCAGTAGTGGATATGGTCTTAGATGTATTAAAGGGTGTGCTTGAAGAAGAAGTGAAATAACCCTATATAGAATGCAAATTTCTCTCTACTTGCAAGAGATGTCATTTTACATACAAAAAAAATCCCTAAAGACTTCAGAAAAAATAGTTAGATCAATAAAATATGCTAATAAACTAATTCAGGAAGGTTACAGGTTATTCATTAACACTGCACATATTAATAATAAATTATCCAAAATAAGAGATTTTTTAAATTCCATTCAAAATATCATCAAAAAGTGATTCACCTCATGAGGAATTTAACCAAAGATGTGGAAATATCTATAGACTGAAAACTATAAAATACTAAGTGAAATTGAGTAAAATATAAATAAATGGAAAGATATACATTAAAAATTAGAAGAATTAATATTATTTTAAAAACCACATGGAACCCAAGGTGATCTACAAAGTGAATGTCACCTCCTTCTGATTTCCAATGCTATTTTCCATAGAAACAGAAAATCAGTATTGTAATTCATCCAAACTACAAAGGCTCCAAATGAGTAAAACAATCCTGAGTAAGCTGGAGACATCACAAAACTTGGTGTTAAAAAATACAAAGCACTTCTAATCAAAACTATATTAGGAATTTATAAACAGACATCTAGTTCTATGTATTAAAATAAGAAACACAAAATCTGTTTCCTACTCAACTGAGTTTAGAAAAAGATGCTAGGAGCAATCAATAGAGAAAGGATAATCTAATTATAAATGTTGATTGAGCTAGGTCTCCATTTGCAGAAGAATTAAACTGACCATTATAGAAATACAAACGAAAATTGGACCAATGATTTAAATATATGGACTGACCCTATAAAACCACTATTAAACCAGAGGGAAAGATTCATAGGATAGATCTGAATAATAATTAATTTTGAACATGACTCCAAAAAGCACACAGGCAGGAAAAGTCTATAGTTAGTAGGAAAAATTGAAACATCATAATACAATGTTTCTGCACACCAAAACAAGCAATCAACAGGCTAAGCAGAGAGCCTGGAGTGGGGATAAAACATCAATAATCCATATCTTATAGGCTGGTGTGGCATTGATGGCTGAAAGAAATAAGGAACACCAACAACAGCAAGTGGAAAAACCCAGGAACCAGAATGGCCATTGTCAGGGGGTACGCCAGGAGCAAGTGCAGTAAATTACACTGCAGGCTCAACTCTGGACCACTAATACTCAGCACGGTATCGATAGTTAGCACAACATGATGATTTAACATTTGCTCAGAGAGCAGTTCTTACACCTTCTCACTACATATAAAAAGAAAAGGAAAAATAAATATTTGAAATAAGTAGAAAAGGAAAATCAAATAAAATATATTAAGCAAAGTTGTCAGAAAAAAAAATAAATGAGTCTATAATCGCAGCTTGATATCTCAATGCAGTTCTCGCATCAGTAGAGCAAACATTTAAAGTCACTGGAGAAATAAAATATTTGAACAAAGCTACTGACCAAATTCACTAAGTTAACATATGTTGGTGGTCATATCTAATTATTGCCAAATTCATGTTTTTCCTCACCATAATGGAAATACCAAAATAAAACATTAGTCCATGAAGCAAATTTCAAACACTTGATATACTGCTTCCATTACTAAGTGACCACACGGATAATTAACGGTCATTGAGAAATCAAAATAAAAATAGGAAAAGATCTTAAACTGAATACTATAAAAATTTACATTAAAACCTATGGATAAAGGTAAAATCAAGTAAAAATGCTCCACTTCAGTGCATACATTAACAAGTATTTTGTTGCATGTGTGTATGTGTATGTGTTCGAAGAGGTCAGGGCTTGACTTCGGGTATTTTTCTCATCCACACTACCTTATGTATTGAGGCAGGCTTTCTCACATGAACCTAGAGTCTGCCAATTTGGTTCATCTAGCTAGCCAGCCTACTCTGAGGATCAACTTTCTCCACCTCCCAAACGCTGGGGTTATAGGCAGGTTGTCACTCTTGCCTTGTAATTTGATAGCAAGCACTCTACCCACTAAGCCTCTCCTCAGCACCTAAAAAGGTATTTTTAAAGGTCAGAAATCACTTTGCAAACCTTTTAAGTCACAATTGAAGGAAAATTATAAAAGCAACAGTAAGTTAAGCTTTCTAAATGTAAGAGAGAGAAAAAAGTTCACCTTTGATATAAGTAGGTTTGAGATGAATTCAACACAGTAAAGAGGTAGAAATAAAACAACATGACTTTAAAGAACTGGCTACAGCTGTCAGCACCTACCTGGCTTTTTTGTAGGGCTTTTTCTGGGAGATGGCAATAGACATAAAAGAACACCTATAGAAGGGCAACGGCCTGATAGACCTCTCATTGAAAAGAAAATATTGTTGCCCATATGACAAAGGCTGTTTTCCTTAGTGCTGGGGCTCAAACCTAAGGCCTCGCATTTCAGACAAGAGCCTGATTTATCAAGCTCAAGTAATCCATTTTTACTGTGTAGACCACTTGGACCTTCAGAGAACTACAGAATTAGCTAATACCTTTCTAAAGTTCAGGCCCACAAAATAAACTAATTAAGATTCCATAACCCTGAATTTTTTAGTCAAATGCTAGATAGTAATTGGAATAGGAGGAAATACCCTTGATTTGATAAAAGTCACCTACAAAAATTTACATTTAACATCGTATTCAATGAAAAAAATGTTTACCCTATATAGTTAGTAAAAAGACAAAAACTCTACTCCCTACTTTATCTTAGCATCATATTACAGGTTTTAGCCAAGGCAATAAGTAACAGAAAATAAGAGTTCAAAAAATATGAAAGATTAACAATATCCTTCCTTATAGATGCCATGGTGGCACGTGAAAAATAGAAAAAATCTTAGAAAGATTTAGAACTTAAACTGAAATCTATGAAAGCTTATAAAAAGTGGATCTCAACTGAATATAAGACAACAACAGCTGAATCTAGTAGCAGAAACTTTCAGCTCCCCTCACTTGGAAGACAGAGGTAGGAGGATCATTGTGAGGTCAAGGCTAGCCTGGTCCATAAAGTGAGTTCCAGACTAGCTGGAACAAAACAGTGAGACCCCATGTCAGAAAAGAAAAAAACAAACAATAACAACAAAACATGGACAAAAAACCTAAGAACAATGAAAAAAGAATTATCAATTATCAAGAGGTCATTAAAATAAGAACTATTACAAGAATGAACAGAAAACGCCCCCAGTGACATTCTTGCAATAAATTTACTAGTAGTTATAAAAATGGTTTTCTGATAGATGGTGAGAGCTTACTGATGAAGACACTACATCCTTTGGTCATAGGGCATGGAGAAATCAAGTTGGTACTAATCAGGAAGTTTCCTCCATGTTGGCTAGCTTTCATAGTTCTAGAAGGTTCTATGCAAGCTGCTGGGACAAAATTTCATCTAGGAACCCTATAAACTACAATAATGACCTGTACAAGATATGTTCATGGATGCCATAATGATATGAATCAGTTATGGGGCAACCAATCACATTCTGCATGGATTTAAGCTGTGCTCCATTAAAAAAAAAAAAATACAGATTTGATGGGCTTTGGTAACACCCCCAGCAGCCCCAGGGAGGACTCTATCTCTAGGAGTATGTAGGGGCACAAATTGAACTTGAGAAAAGAAAGTGACATGAAGTTGAGCAAGGTAATGGTGGACCTGAGAGAAATAAGGGGGAAGAGAGGAAATGAATATATTAACAGTAAATTGTATTAAGTTCTGAAATAATTAATACAACTACTATATTAAAACAATCAAAAAAAATTCTGTATAGCAATTTAATAAGGACCTCACTACTACTCATGTGTTTTAAACTATGTGCAACACACACCATTTTTTTTTCTGTTCTCAGATTCGTTATGAAATTATTAGTTCTTAAAATAATTATCTAAAAGGTTACATTATTTCTAGGTCCACAAAATGTCACAACATCATGAAAATCTGTTTTCCTTTCTCCTCATTTTGCACTTACCTGGCTGCTTTGTCTCCCACCTGGCTGCAAAGCCTCTCCCAAGCCTTATGTGTTCAGAGTAGAGATGAAAATAGAGAGCATTGCCGCTGCTGTGGATGCCCTGTGGAGGCTTGGAGCCACAGTATTTCCCAAGTGGGAAGGCTGCTGAAGAATCTCCATCGGGATCTGAAGAAACTCCCGGGGACAATTATTTGACAGTTCTAAGTCAAAAAATGTAAAAGTGACATGCAGAACCTGGAAGAACAGAAAAGCATTTCCATGTTAATGCTAAATTGTTTCTTCCACTAGCCACAAACATTTACATAAAGAGATAGAGCCTAGAGCATTAGTCACTCTCAATGTATGCACCAAATCTACATGTAAAGGGCTGACTTTAAAATCACTCAAACCAAATTTTAATTCATATAGAAATATGAAAAAGTCTCTGAGGAGTTGAAATGCTATTTACCTTAAATAATTCATTATATATTGTATGATTCATCAAATGATCGTGATCATATTGTGTTCCACAAAATAATAATAATAATAATAATAATAATAATAATAATAATAATAATAATAATAACACCATGAATCAACTTGAAAACTCTGAATGAAATCTAATCTATCAAGTAGATGGTCAAGAGTGTTTTGTTAATAAAAAAATGAAATGTTCATTTGAAAAAAATATACTTTAAGTCCAAATGTCTGAGATTTACATTCCTGAGAACCCACCCCGAGCCCCTGAAGAATCTGTGGAATGTGCTCACACCCACCCGGTATTGATGCCACAGGGGTCCCTGTGTTTTCAGCCCAGACTAAGACTCAAATGTGTGGTGAGTGGGCCTGGGGAAGGTCTTCAGGAGCTAGATACCATCAATGTGAAAACAGTACCCAGAGATGAAAACAGGCAAAGGGTAATGATGTTTAAACTACAAAGCACAAAAGTAGAATGGAGCAAATAACTGCACATTTTGAATGTCATAAAATACAAAAGATTTTAAATTTTAAATTGATAGCCCCATTTTAAAATAAACATCTAAAAGGAGGTTGTTAGATTTAATTTTCACCAGAATCTAAAATCACAATGCTATTCATCTAGGATAAAGAATTTTAAGATGTTTTTAAAATTCTATGTTAGTATATTTTAATATATCCTATCATTACATTATTTTCTAACTGATGTAATTTAAATAGAAATCAAATATCAATTAGTTGTTTATGTTTTCTATTATATTATATGTTGATATATAAATATATAAAGAGAATATATAAAATTATATCATGAAAAATGGGATAAATTCTCATAAAAATGGTAATGTACACGTAAAAAATTTTCACATAAAATCTTTTCCATGGAAAAATATATTTCAATGTCAGGAAATGGAATTCACTAGAACTAAATGGAAGGAAGGAAATTCACACAACATACCCAGTGGGAAAGTTTTCTGGAATTTATTCTATTGTGTATTAACCAAGCTGCCACTTGTTGTCTTTCCTTTAAGAGGAAATACTATTTTCTGACCTCATACAGTGTTCTCTATAGTATTATTTTGTTGGGGAAATTTAATGACATTTCAAGGGAGAATTTTACCTATTAAGTCATACCAATTTAAGTCTAAGAATTGCTTAAAAACAAATACTTTGGAAATCTGAGTTTTAAGGGAATGATAAAATCATGGGCTCAGATCATAGTTTTAAGTGTTCATGTAGGAGCTCAGAGTCATGAGCTTTGGAATCAGATGGCCTAAGGCTGTTTCTTAAAGACCATATGTTACAAACAAACAACAAACACACACACATATCTAGACAGCGTCCCCAAACGCTCTAGGTCCCCTTTATGTATGTATAAAATGGGTTAATAATTCCTGGCTCTAGAGTTTAAAGTACACTGATGTGTATGGAACATATGGTATCAGCCATAGAGCAAATACTTCCTTAGGAAGCCATCTTAATACTAGTTGTCACCATTTCATGATAGTCCACTGAGGTCTGTGGTCATCTTCAAATGCTACTTTTGCAGTAAAAGCATGGTATTACAGATTAACTACTGGCCCTACAGCTAGACCACCAATGCTGGGAATCCTTCCCTTACCAGAGGTAAACAAACAAAAACTCACAATGGACCCTAGAACCAAACTTGACTCGAAGATTTATCTATTCCTCTTATAAACTAGGTAGTACTAAAAAAAAAAGAGAAAAAAAAAAAAAAAAACAGAAACCCACAAAGCTTCTATTTTTATTATTTCAACTATAAAATATAGATATTAATCATTTAAAATAATGTGTAGGAAGTTAGAGAAAGATGAACAAAATGTTTAGCCCAAAGTCCAGCACTCACCAAATATTCAATATGTGAGAGTTTAATTATCAACATAAATACTTTATATATGCGTATACATGCCTATATATCACAGGTATGGAATTTTTAAATGTAGAAGTGAAATCTGCTTATGGACAACAATTATTATGTTTACCTTTTCCTCATCAGTCCGACAACCCTGAAACAGTTAGCATCATGGACAAAGGTATCATTAGGGCTCTGGTAGGCAAAGTTTTTGAGTCCCTGGAGAGGATCCCTCCACAAGCTGGAAAAAAATGAACTATGTTTTTCATAGATTGACAAAAGGGCATCTTCCACTCTGAAATTTCCTCTTCTTGGATCCCTTGGTTGATTTCAGATCCATCACATTGTCTACAAACCACTCGACTCCTTTATTTTCTTTGGCTGCCATTCTCCAAACCTTTACCCCATGATTCAATCACATCCAGTAGTTCTGCCATCTCTTGCCCTCCTTCCTGCTGCTCTGTGGCAGTCTTAACTCCCGATTATACACTGAGCAGATATGAAGATGATGCTTCATGCTTTGATATTTTATCATTGCCCTAACATGTAGTAAGACCCTCAGTAAATGTACTGATTGCAATGCAGGAATTAAGAAGAGAGAGTATGGAGATGTTAGAGGAGTCCTGGGAGAAGGAATCTGATTGTGCTGTCTAAGTCACAGATGCTTCCCTGGATGGGAAATAAAGGAGGGATTTGTGGGGAGATCAGGAGAAACACCAAATAAAAGAACACAGTGATAACACTCATGGGGTCCATAGTTGTCAAGTGGCAAAAGAAAATTGTCTGACTTGAATGAGAGAATTTCCAGGGAACTAGAAAAAAAAACATGGTGACATGGATAGAATGAAGGTTGTTCATGAAAGATTAATGAAAAACAACCTAAACCATGATTAATTAGACAATGAAGAACCAAGGCAGCAGCAGCAAATAGGAGAATGGTAACTAAGATAGAAGGGTATTCTGTGAACATTAGATGCCTTTTCTAGAAAAACCAAAAGGAAGGTCAGTATATGGGTACATTCTGAAAGAATATAACAAACATGAAAAATACTAACAATATTTTTGAAGAAAATGACTCTGTTTAAAACAAGGTTTATAAATATCCACCTCTGAATTCTCTATGCTATTTCCGTATGGAGAAATCTATGTCGTAACATCTAAACTGGTAAGAAATCAGGTTACATTGGCAAATATGCAAAAGTCTTATTGGAAGATGGTGTCCCTAAGCTGAGAGTATCTGTGACTCAAGGGATGTCTCCCATTACCTCTCTGGGGGTGTCTGGCAGTAATACCCAGTCCAGGGAGCTTGTGCAGTCACAAGTGAAGCCATTGATGCCATCGATACAGGTGCCTCCATTCAAACAGGGGTTGCTCACACACTCATTAATGTTTTCTGTGCAGTTGGTTCCAGACCAGCCTGAGTCACACTTACAGAAATAACTAGATACTGTTCCTAAGGAGAAAAAAAATGCATCATATTACAAAAAAAGGGGCAAACTATATAACATAACCAACCCAAGTCAAGAAAAGTAACAACATAAGGTATATATTTAATGAAAATTAAACTATAGCATATTCCTCCAGTAAGAAATTCATTAACTACTAAGTATAATTAGTAATATTTATCCCATAAAATATAGAACTTAATATTCTGAAAATAATTGGATAAGAATAAGTCATGGCTGAAGATATAGCTTAAAGTTACAAAGGGTTTAGTGTTTTTGTAGAGTGTCTGGATCCAATTCTATTACCCATATCAGGCAGTTCACAACTGCCTCTAACTCCAGTTCTAGGAAATATGACACCTTCTTGCCCCTGCAGACACATACATGCTTGTGATGGACACTAGTATGCAAGGGCACACATATACACATAAAAATAAATAAATCTTTTAAAAATCAAACTTATTGGTTTTCCTGCAAAACAAAGTTACTACCTATTTGTAATCTGTGAATGAGAGACCTTAGTATAAAGTTTAAATTGTTATCTTTAAACTTACAATTCATACAGATTTAAATAGATTATTTGCAAGTTTTTAATATCCCCGGAGGGGAAGACTCACTATGCACTGTCCATGAGCACAGGGGTGACTTGAGCAGATATTACCAGAGGGGTACACATCCATTTGGCCAAAAACCATTTCCTGTATATCCCAGAGGACAGGTGCAGAGAGCTAAAACCCTGTTCAGAAATAAAAATGGATTTGTAGAGTGCAGGGATCCTTGTTTCCCAGAAACCGTCATAAAACTTAACTCTGGTGTCTAGACAAGAATCTATCAAGGTCAAGTGAATTTTTTCCGCAGTCAGGCAAGAGGAAGCAAGAGGAAAAACGATGAAATTCTTTTGCTGAGGGAGTTCCTGGTTAGGCTCCAAAGCAATACAGAGAAACCTTGTCTCAAAAAAAAAAAAACAAACAAACAAACAAACAAAAAACAAACCAAACAAACAAAAAAAAAACACCCAATGTTTCTAATTTTTGTATATATATTTGCAATCATGCTATCTTCTCATGTGACAGATGATCTTGAGTGGTAAGGGAAGGTGAAGAAAAGGAAAATGCGATTTCTTCATTAGGAGAAAGATGCTTGGTAGAAAATAGAGTTTTATGGCAACAGTGTTTGCTGCAATGTATGTGCCTACACTTATAGAGAGATTGCTCAATCCTCTAGACAACCCTATAAACAGATCTTACTATAAATATTTATATTTTTACAATAAAAATTGAGCATTTGTAGATTGTCCTGACTCAGGAGACACAGTGTGAATATATGGGTCCAGAGAAATTCCAGGATGTGGCTCTGTGTGTAGGTCATGATTAAAATACAATGGGCAGCCCTCATGTTCTAGGCACATAGTTCATGCAGACCACACCTGTGTACTATTTCACAAAATGAATTTAAGGCACTCAAAGGAAATTTCAGTGAAGCTACAGGATTAAAATAATATAGTAACATGATCAACAAAATTAAACATTGACGTTTCTTCAACAATTTTCTCCAAGCTCCTTTGCTCATTACAAAATTCAAGCAATGACAATTCGAACAGAGGAAGACATTGATTAAAAACTGTTTTGTGCAACTGAATCTTTCAGTACCACTAATAATTATGACATGAATGATAAAAAAGCTAAAGATAATATTAAAACGTGGTACACAGGTTATTCTTATCTATACGTGCATATTAAATATGCAACATAGTAAAAATAAAAATTTGAAAAAATCAAGGAAGGTTATTATTACTAATAGATGAGGTTAGGTCTATCCATTTCGACAAACAGTTTTGGTTTCCATTTGTTGCATACATGAACAATAAATTCTAAACTGTTGAAGATCTGG